ACTTTTTATGATATAATTGAGCATATCAGTAATGTTGGCAGCCACGTTTGGTCAACCGATCGGCAGCTGTCTCAACAAGCGCTGGTAGGAGGCGCTGGTAGGAGGCGCCGCTGCTCATTAAGACAGAAACGCTGCCGGCCGACACACTCACTCTCTCTTCTTCATGTTTATGGCAAGTTTTAATTCCGGTTTATTTAAGTGGTTTAATTTATTCTTTAGGTAAATTTATTGGGTCCTTTAGGTTCTTATTATAGGTGGATCATACAGTATTTGTTTAATATGAAGACGAATTTCCGGAAATTATTGTATGAATTTGTCACTGTAACAAAGAGAGTTTGTTGATAGTTGGTGTAATTGTTACTTTTGTGCCTTTAGTAAGTTTACAATAGCGCCTTCATAATTACTATAATACCGCGATGAAGTCAAATTTAGTTACGTATTGTATATAAAGGAAAAATATGCCTCCGTACCTTCAGTATTTTGAAGAAAGATCAACCCACAGTGACTTATTTTAAAAGTTTATTGAAGTTACTCTATAAAGTAAGGCGGAGTTTATTTATTACTGTATGAGCAAGACGAATGCGGTCTGCTGTCACCTGCCATTCCCTTTACATTTTCACATTGCCTAGACGCTGTCGAGCATACTTGCCTGTTTGGCTTGAGCCTTTATCTAAATACTGTTAGCTTAGTAAAAAGGGCAAATTTTTACAAGTGGACAACCGTGGATTTTTTGTTAGAGTAATGTGTTTCTGGTGGTTTAGACAATGTTGACACACTTTCTTCTATGACGTTTCCCTTGCAAATGTCCACTTGTAAAAACTTACCATGAATTGTTAGTGGGTGACTGGAAAGGTCCCTCGTTAAACTCTTAACCAGCACATTCTACCAACCGGCCAACAATTACCACCAACTTTAATTTTCTTGGACTGTTCTGTGGGATCTTCGTTGTTGTAGCATATCTTGGAATTTACTTGGGCGAATGCCGAGATGGTCACTTCATTGGTACCAAAATCGCTTGTGGTTGACAGCATGTCTACTTCCATGAGTCTTGGCAAGCATATTATCATTTTGTTCACATTATAGGCATGAATCCGATTTACCTATATGCAGACAGAACATTTATTTTTCAGAATTATCCCCGCATTATAAACTGCAGGGAGTCGAGACTCTTGTCTGACGAACCCGAGACATCTACAGTATGTTGCCTGGAGTGAGTCAACGTTGTTACTGGAGCTCCTCATTTCGTCCATTTATTGAGGTAAGTTTGTTATATGGAAAAGCTAGTCTGTTCAATTAAACTTTGCAACAGTTCTAGGGCAGTATCGGGTCTCTTGACAAGTATTGGGCATGTACTGTACTGGCTCCTAATGTATTTATCTGCGCCAGTGTTGATCCAGTAGTCCTGAATGAGCTCACTCTGTGCCACCACAAAAGTTGAGCGAGTTCACATCTCGCTACAAAAAAAAGCCCCAGGTTTCTGAACTTGTGGCTACTTCAACCATAAGCTGCTCACCCTCCCCCAAGTTGCTTATGAACACTATATTAAGTACTGTAGGGCCCTATTACATGTTTTCTAAACTAATATTAGTCACGCCCTTGCCTGCCTATAAGCTGGGCAATGGAACACCCTAGCCTCCTGGAACACTCTGGCCTCCCAGAGACACTCTGGCCCTCCCGGAACACACACTGGCCCTCCCCGGAAAACACTGTGGCCTCCCGGGACACACTGGCCCTCCCGGGACACCTGTGGCCTCCGGGACACACTGTGGCCCTCCCAGGACACACTGTGGCCTCCCAGGACACACTGTGGCCCTCCCCGGGACACACTGTGGCCCTCCCCGGGACACACTGTGGCCCTCCCCGGGACACACTGTGGCTCCCCGGGACCACACTGTGGCCTCCCAGGACACTGTGGCCCTCCAGGACACACTGTGGCCCTCCCGGGAACACACTGTGGCCTCCCAGGGACACACTGTGGCCCTCCCAGGTACAGCCTGGCCCTCCCGGACACCACTGTGGCCCTCCCAGGACACACTGTGGCCCTCCCGGGACACACTGTGGCCCTCCCGGGGTCTACTGTGGCCCTCCCGGGACCACTGTGGCCCTCCCAGGTACCACTGTGGCCCTCCCCGGGACACTGTGGCCCTCCCGGGACACACTGTGGCCCTCCCGGAACACCTGTGGCCCTCCCAGGCCACTGTGGCCCTCCCGGACACACTGTGGCCTCCCCAGAACACCTGTGGCCCTCCCAGGACTACACTGTGGCCCTCCCAGGACACACTGTGGCCCTCCCGGGACACTGTGGCCTCCCGGGACACACTGTGGCCCTCCCGGGACTACCTGTGGCCCTCCCAGGGACACACTGTGGCCCTCCCAGGCTGTGGCCTCCCGGGACACACTGTGGCCTCCCGGGACACACTGTGGCCCTCCCAGGAACACACTGTGGCCCTCCCCGGGCTGCTGTGGCCCTCAGGACACACTGTGGCCCTCCCAGGACACACTGTGGCCCTCCCCGGGACACACTGTGGCCCTCCCAGGACACACTGTGGCCTCCCAGGACACCTGTGGCCCTCCGGGACACACTGTGGCCCTCCCGGGACACACTGTGGCCCTCCCAGGACACACTTGTGGCCCTCCCGGAGACACCTGTGGCCCTCCCAGGCACACTGTGGCCCTCCCGAGACTTATGGCCCTCCCGGGACACACTGTGGCCCTCCCGGGACACCTGTGGCCTCCCGGCATTCCCTGGGACACTATGGCACTCCCCGTAACACACTGGCACTCCCTGGAACCCTCTGTGACACTCTGGGACACCCTGGGAACACTCTGGCACCCCTGGGCTCTCTGGCACTCCCTGGGCTACTCTGGCACTCCCTGGTACACTCTGGCACTCCTGGGACACTCCTGGGACACTATGGCACTCCTAGAACACTTTGGAACACTGTGGCACTCCTGGGACACTGTGGCACTCCCTGGGACACTGTGGCACTCCCTGGGACACTGGCACTCCCAGGGACACTGTGGCACTCCCGGGACACTGTGGCACTCAGGACACTGTGGCACTCCCTGGGACACTGTGGCCTCGGGACACTGTGGCACTCGGGACACTGTGGCACTCCTGGGACACTGTGGCACTCCCGGGACACTGTGGCACTCCCGGATACTGTGGCTCCCGGGACACTGTGGCACTCCCGGAGGACGGCCTCCCGGGACACTGTGGCACTCCCAGGACTCCTCTGGCCTCCCGGGACACTCTGGTACTCCCCGGACACTCTGGCACTCCCGGGACACTCTGGCACTCCCGGGACACTCTGGCACTCCCAGGACACTCTGGTACTCCCAGGACACTCTGGCACTCGGGACACTCTGGTACTCCCTGGACACTCTGGCACTCCCGGGACACTCTGGCACTCCCGGACACTCTGGCACTCCCGGGACACTCTGGACTCCCAGGACACTCTGGTACTCCCAGGACACTCTGGCACTCCCGGGACACTCTGGTACTCCCAGGACCTCTGGTACTCCCCGGGACACTCTGGCACTCCCGGGACACTCTGGTACTCCCGGGACACTCCTGGTACTCCCCGGGACACTCTGGCTCCCGGGACACTCTGGTACTCCCCAGGGACACTCTGGCACTCCCAGGACACTCTGGCACTCCCCGGGACACTCTGGCACTCCCGGGACACACTGGCACTCCTGGGACACTCTGGCACTCCCCGGGACCTCTGGCACTCCCGGAACACTCTGGCACTCCCAGAACACTCCTGGCCTCCCTGGAACACTATGGCACTCCCCGGAACACTATGGCACTCTCTGGTACACACTGGCACTCCCCGGAACACTATGGCACTCTCTGGTACACTATGGCACTCTCTGGTACACACTGGCACTCCCCGGAACACTATGGCACTCCCCGGAACATATGGCACTCTCTGGTACACACTGGCACTCCCCGGAACACTATGGCACTCCCGGAACACTATGGCACTCTCTGGTACACACTGGCACTCCCGGAACCTATGGCCTCTCTGGACACACTGGCACTCCCGGAACACTATGGCTCTCTGGTACACTCTGGCACTCCTGGGACACTCTGGCTCCCTGGGCATTATGGCACTCCCTGGGACACACTGGCACTCCTGGAACACTCTGGCTCCCTGGGGAGACACTGGCACTCCCTGGGACACACTGGCACTCCCTGGGACACACTGGCACTCCCTGGGACACACTGGCACTCCCTGGGACACACTGGCACTCCTGGGACACACTGGCACTCCCTGGAACACTCTGGCACTCCCTGGGACACTCTGGCACTCCCTGAACACTCTGGCACTCTGGGACACTATGGCACTCCCTGAACACTATGGCACTCCCTGGGACACTGTGGCACTCCCGGGACACTGTGGCACTCCCTGGGACACGTGGCACTCCTGGGACACTGTGGCACTCCCTGGGACATCTGGCACTCCCTGGGACACTGTGGCACTCTGGGACACTGTGGCACTCCTGGGAGACACCTGCACCCCTGGAACACTCTGGCACCCCCTGGGACACTCTGGCACCCCTGGAACACTCTGGCACCCCTGATGGCACTCTTGCACACTGATGGCACTCCCTGGGACACTCTGGCACTCCTGGAACACTATGGCACTCTGCTGGGACACTCTGGCACTCCCTGGACATTATGGCACCCCTGGTGGCACTCCCAACACTGGCACTCCTGGAACATTGGCACTTGACACCTGAACACTATGGCACTCCCTGGGACACTCTGGCACCCCTGGGACATTATGGCACCCTGAACACTATGGCACTCCCTGGGAGACACTCTGGCACCCCTGGAACACTCTGGCACTCCTGGGACACTCTGGCACTCCCCTGAACACTCTGGCACTCCCTGGGACACTATGGCACTCCCTGGAACACTATGGCACCCCTGGGACACTCTGGCACCCCTGGAACACTATGGCACCTCTGGGACACTCTGGCACCCCTGGAACACTATGGCACCTCTGGGACACACTGGCACCCCTGGAACACTCTGGCACCCCTGGGACACCTGCACCCTTGCACACTCGGCACCCCCTGGGACACACTAGCACTCCCTGGGACACACTAGCACTCCCTGGAACACTCTGGCACTCCCCTGGGACACTGCACTCCTTGGCACACTCGCACTCCTTGGCACACTCTGGCACTCCCTGAACACTCTGGCACCCTTGGTACACTCTGGCACCCTGGTACACTCTGGCACTCCCTGGGACACACTAGCACTCCTGGGACACACTAGCACCCCTGGAACACTCTGGCACCCCTGGAACACTCTGGCACCCTGGGTACACTCTGGCACTCCTTGCACACTCTGGCACCTGGTACACTCTGGCACTCCTGGTACACTCTGGCACTCCCTGGGACACACTAGCACCCTGGGACACACTAGCACCCTGAACACTCTGGCACTCCCTGGAACACTCTGGCACTCCTGAACACTCTGGCACTCCTGGAACACCTGGCACTCCTTGGCACACTGCACTCTGGTACACTCTGGCACTCCTTGGTACACTCTGGCACTCCTGGGACACACTAGCACTCCCTGGGACACACCACACTCCCCTGGTACACTCTAGCACTCACTGGGACACTGACCCCTGGTACACTCTGGCACCCCCTGGCACACTCTGGCACTCACTGGGACACTCTGGCACCTCTGGGACACTGGCACCTGAGACACACTTGTATGGCATTTCTGTAATGTTTCTCGCACAATAAGCCATAGTTTAATTATTGTTATTGTTATTATTTTAACTAACAACTATAGTAATAGTTTTAATTTCATTCAAAGTCATTTAATTCGTCTTGTATTTAATCTCATTCAAAGTCATTTAATCCCGCTTTAATCTCATTCCAAAGTCATTTAATCTGTCTTGTATTTAATCTCATTCAAAGTCATTTAATCCGCTTTTAATCTCATTCAAAGTCATTTAATTCGTGTTGTATTTAATCATCCAAAGTCATTTAATTCGTCTTGTATTTAATCTCATTCTCGTAACTTGTTTGTTTACGTCGGGTTTCTTTTGATGACGTCATAAGAGAAAACGTATCTTTTATGGGTAACTATTTTACTTTCTTGTGTAATATTGAAATTACTTTTCTTTATATTCTTCGCCACTGAACGGCCTGTGTTTCTATCTATCTATCTATCTATCTATCTATCTATCTATCTATCTATCACCACTCGGCGATAACCACCCATATAGGGACGATATAATTGAGTAAATCGGTAATGTTGGCAGCCCTGAATGGTCAACAAATGACTGTCTCCGAAGCTGAAGAATTTGTATTATATTATTGTATGTATCTTTGTATTTATTTTTCCGTAAAGTTTTCCTGATTGTTATTTTTCTATATTACGATATAAATTAATTTATACAAAAATTTACCTTAAAATTTGTATTAATATTTGTATATACGATTGAGGTTGTATTTATTTGGTTAGGATTCCTCATTCGGATAAGGTTTTGGCTGGAAGACGGGGTATAGAGCAGTGATTGGCCGGTGGAGAGCAGTGCTCATTGAGACACAGGAGGAAGTGTTGCCGGTCGTCTCTCACCTGACACGCTGTTCTTTAAAGGTATAGTATGTTTTATTTTCAATTTATTTCCGTGGTTAAATTTATACGTGTGTCAAGGTAGATATATTAGGGCTATTTATTATTCGATTTTGTACCAACTGATTTATTTAAAAGGAAATAATTTAAGAGTTAATGAACAAGCATACAGTAGGTTAATGGTCGTTAACCATCACATTGACTAGTTACTATAGAGAATACTTTACTATTTTTGGCTCGTGCTTTTATTTAAATTAATAAAATAAGGTTTAGGTTTGGTCACCGTAAAGACAAAGTTAATATTTATTTGTTACTAGTAAGCTTTTTCATTTCTTTACAGATGATGGATCCAATTGGTTGTGTAGCTGCCGTGCTGAAGACCAGTTCGCTGCATCAGTGGTCGTCAGCGTGGGTCACCTTATTGGCTGAGGTTAGAAAGTTTGTTCTGAAGTGTTAGGTCAAGTCTACTTCACTTTAAACTTTGCCACTGGGGTCTAGAGGCGGTCGAACGCATCTAGACGTTGTTGGCAAGTATACTGAGCATGTACTGACTCTTGTTGACAAGTTCTGGGCAAGTACTGGCTCTCCTGTTACTGTTGGCAAGTACTGGGCATGTACTCACTGTTGGCAAGTACTGGGCATGTACTCACTGTTGGCAAGTACTGGGCATGTACTAGCTATGTTACACTGTTGGCAAGTACAGTACTGTAGTCACAAAACAGCTCACTCGGTGCCGTCACAACAGATTGTTCCAACAGTTCACAACTCGCTACAAAAAAAAATGCATTAAAATTTTCTGGACTTGTGGCATCAACCATAAGCTGTATCCTCTAGTGGGTCGGGCGCCTGCTAGTTATGATCACCAGACTAAGTAATGACTTATTACATGTTTATAAACCTGTATTAAGTCACACCTTGCTTGTTTATAAGCTGGACAGTGGCATAAACTAATTGGCTTTACTTTACACAATGTGCTGATCACTCGCAGTACTGTTATTATCCATTCGTCATCTGTTTCAATATAGGAGTTGTGTATGTCATTTTCCAGTCATATGGGAACGTTTTTCTTGTTTATGCTTCTGTACAAGATTTAATGAGGTCAGGCAGCTCTTCAACACCTGAAGCTCACCATCAGGGCTCTTGTGTACCTTTATGGTACTAGTGCAGTACACGGCCGCCTGTTTAAACCATCCCAACCTTTACATCTCTACCAGGGGGCCAAGAATAATGGCAGAAATGAATCTTTAAAGTTTTTCCATACTTTTGGGGGATAACTCTTGAAACTATTATTTTCCCCGGGAATTAAAGGTCAAATTAGATTGTCACACCAAAATACACATGATAAACTACTGGGGCATATTGGCCGAAACTGCTATTTTACCGACTTTAGTTTTGATAATTTGTTTTAATACTTGACCGAGAACATGTCAGTGTTGTCACTCCTCAAGCACATGGGAGGTTTACATCCTCTTGTGAACACTAATTAACGCCTCTCGTCTTTCCCTGATCCGAGTGTGTAATATTATCTTAGTCTAGGGTCTGATGTGCCCACACGTTGAAAGCTTTTGAGGCTTTGACTTCATTTGGAATCAAACTGGCAATCTTGCTCGGTGTTTCTACAATCTGAATGGACTTTGTATTACGAGACAGTGAGTTGGGTCTGGAGTATACAGTATATCTTAACAGTTTACTGGCTATGATATTCAGCAGTGTCTGCATTCCTGTTTCTCAGTGTAATTTCATTCCTCCAGTCAGTGTCACTAGTAGCCCATAATGTTGTGTACAGTATTAATGCTTTTAAACTGGCTTGGCACAATAAACTTCAGTTCTGTGATCTATAAATACATCCAACAAGGATTAAGTCTCTTGCCTGCATCTATAGTTCTCAATTTGTCCAATACGTTGCTCCCAGTACAGGTAATCTATATAAACCTTATACCTAGTGAAGAGTGTGGATTACATCTGTTATAAATGGTGGAATTGTTTTTAATTATATTTATTAAACTTTACAAGGAACTTTCATGTAGTTGTAAAGAATTGTAGATTAATGTTCTGGGTTGACAGCCTGTTGATGTTTGTAGACAGTCATTGGGTGAGTAACTCATAACTGTAAATGTTAGTTTCTTTAAATTTTAACTTAATTTTGATTAATTTGTCGCCATTTTGTTTATTAATGTTGCCGCATTCTTACAAGAAATTGAGGAGAAAATGTTGAATGTTACTTTGCCTTACTCTTACCAACAGCTCTTGAATGTAATAAACATTTTCTTTATCTAACATTTACCTTGCATAATGTTCATCAATAATAAAGTACTGTACTGTACTATAAAACATTGTGGGGGGCCAGTTAATCAGGGGATGACTACCTAATACTTGTAATACTGTACACTATCCAAGCTTACATAATACTTTTAATACTGTATTCAAGTTTATCAGTGATATCATCAATAGTTAAAGAGCTGTTAAAAATAAGGTTGCTTAACTCTGCGTCGTTCTCCACTCAAGTTGTGCTGTAATGCTTCATTTATTCGGTAAACTAGTTGACAGGTGTCCCTTAATATACAACAATTTTATTCCTGGTAATGTGTTCATTAAGTGGAAGTAATTTATATATTATTGGGTTTATGTTCCTGTGAGGGAAAATCTTTATTCATATACAGGTAAAAGTGTGGCATCAACGAGGGATTTATTCATTGTTTGCTTCTGTGTAGTGTAGGTGTTTGTTGAATCTGAGGCATATGTACTGTTTATTGGGGGATACCTGTAATGTACTGTAGGTATAATATTTAATTTATTCTTAGAGTTGTAACAATTCATTCCAGGATGATGACTTAAAGATGAAGGATCCAACAAATGACCCAAGAGTTTTCTGGTGAACGGACTCTTGCTGCACGGCCTTGCACCAGTCCAGGGTGGGGGTACAGTCCAAGGTAACATTGTGGTTTCTTTACTAAACTCTCAACAAAGTACAGTACAGTATTTGTAACTCATGAACTGCTGTGTCTAGTTAACTCTTAAGTATATATATCGATAAAGTATAAGTACAGTACAATATTAGGGATGCACCAATTAATAAGTTACAGATAATATCAATATTTTGTGGAATAATCAGTATTAGTAAACAAAGTATTAGCTGATGCCATTTTGACGTCTGTTTTTGGTGAAGAAATTACTCGGTAAATTTTTATTCCCGGCAAAATACAGTAATTATGGAAACCAGTTATAGTCTGTTCACTTATTATGGTCGTGTCACTCGGCCGCCGATCATTGTCTCGTAGTTGTGATGGATAACATGGCAGTGTCCTCTGTGCCGGTCTACAGCACTTCATTATATGGTAATGAATATATTATCAGGCCAGACAAAGTAACTTTTATTTATTCTGATGAGAAAAATAATCTGGTAAAAACTGTCGCTGATGAGAAAGATTGTTTTATATATTGTAGCATCGTTAAGGTACATTAGATATATTATTTACCAATATTACTCAAATTAGAACTAAGAACGACCTGTTACAGAATTAACCTATAATGAACGACATACGTACAGTGATTTCTGCTATAACGCGTGTTTTGATAACGCGAATTTGCTCTAACGCGATTTATGAATTAGGAACGATATTTGTATAACGCGAACGCTCGTTTGCTATAACGCGATTTTTGCTTACTATTTCTCCAATTTTGTGAATATAGTAAAGAAGAATATCAACAAGAAGCATTCCGGTGATAAAATTCCTGGTGATGATCGTAAAAGAAAGGATATAACACTGAAGAAGAAGCTTCAATTTATAAACCTCAAATCATATACATAGTAAGTGTTACATTGCACCATGATTTCATTATTAGATATAGATATATTTATTGAGACATAAATTGCTATCCTTTGTGTTAGGCTAACTACTAAATTTTTTCGATTTCGAGTAATCTGCACCTAACCCTATTTTCTCCATAAGCCCTGTTATTTCTATTACGCGATTTTCTATAACACGATATTTTACAAGAACACAATTATCGCGTTATAGCAGAACTACCTGTATAGTAAGTCGTTGAGGCTGGAGAGTTCTTGATAACAAAATTAGTCAATGGTAAATAACTCCCTTTAAATACTATATTTTATTAGAGAATGAATAAATAATGATTAAATGTTCCCAAAATAAGTCTTAAACATTATCGAGTCTCTATTTGAGTTATAACATTAGTCCGTACTTTTTATTATACCGTACAGTAAATATTTAATGTAGACAATATACATGGTATTCTTCATGGATGGTTGCAGCTTCCAACAGCCTTTAAATTATTTACCTATAAATAGTTGACCACTTGATTAGTTACGTTAATAATTACTGCGTGTTGTGCCGGGTTGACTTAAATGCTGCAATAATGATGAAATTTAAAACCCAGCTGCTGTTAACATTGCAGCTTCAAGAATTCCGTAAGACTATAACTAAAGTTGATGTATTTGTGGACGGGTTCTGTACCACCAGAGTAAATTGCTTTATTTAAATACCGTACTGTATTTGGCTGATATTTTGCTTTGTTCATGGTCTGGCTTTGGTGTTGAGACTATATAGTGACTTAATTGTTATACCTGCATGATAAAATTGACCTAAATTATAGCATTAACTCTAAATCTGTGTTTTAAATCTGGCAGCAGATTATTGGGAAAGTTTTAAATGTGGTTATTAACGGTGCATCGCTAATGTTCTTTAATTACTGTACTAGATTAAATGGATTAATGTGGTACTTCTATAGAGGATAAAACCTTCAGTTTAGGGTCATGTTATAATACTGTATTAGGGTAAATTAGTATTAAAATATCTTGCTTTAAACCTTTTATAGGTAATAACTTTTGACTTAACTCTTAACTTCTTACAACTTTAAAGAACAATAATTTAATACATAAAATTTAAAACTAAGTAAATTAACTTTTGCTCATTAATGCTGAACTTGGTGAAATAATTCATAAATATAGATGTAAAGTTATACCTACATTTTGTATACTTTAGAAATAATAAATTACTCTGCAACTTTCACCTTTAATAAACAATACTGTACTGGGCCTAAGATATTCATTGATGTAAATTTAGTTAAAATTGTTGACAAATCAATAATTCCTAAAGCAAAGTCATTGAAAGACAAAACATTTCAAATATATTAACAAAACTATGAACCAAAGATGCAGGTTTATTGTAGTTGACTCAATAACTCTTATGGTTAAACTAAACAGGTACAATATACTTGGTTAGGTTAAGTTGCTGTACAGTTACTGATAATATTCCCTGAACACTTGGCAGTATGTTATCAACGATCATTAGGTGAAAGATTTCAATTACCAAATTTATATTTTTATATTAAGTAATTTGTACATTTGGTCCTTGTTAAATTGTCTAGAACACTACAGCACATTTAGTCATTATTATATTTAAAATAATTTTCTGGTTAAATAAATGTGATTATTAATTTTACTTTGTACAGAAATATTATTCTGGACTTTGTGGTCAGTGGTTACCACCAAGCTGGACTGCCTGCTGCTGCCGCCTCCCTGGCCACTGTCCTGTCCTGGGCTGGCTGCTGCCTCCCTGTCCTGGCTGCTGCTGCCGCCGCCTCCCTGGCCACTGCTTCTGCCGCCTTGGATGCCTACTGCAGCCGCCCTAGACACTGTCCTGTCCTGGCCACTGCCTGCTGCTGCCCTAGACACCATCCTGTCCTGGGCTGGCCACTGCTGCTGCTGCCCTGGACTGCCTGCTGCTGCCACAGCCTAGACACTGTCTGTCTGGGCTGGCCACTGCTGCTGCCCTAGACACCATCCTGTCCTGGGCTGGCCACTGCTGCCCTGGACTGCCTGCTGCTGCAGCCCTAGACACTGTCCTGCCCTGGACTGCCTCCTGCTGCTGCCCTAGACACTGTCCTGTCCTGGGCTGGCCACTGCTGCTGCCCTAGACACTGTCCTGTCCTGGGTTGGCCACTGCTGCTGCAGCCCTAGACACTGTCCTGTCCTGGGCTGGCCACTGCTGCCCTGGACTGCCTGCTGCTGCAGCCCTAGACACTGTCATGTCCTGGGACTTTTCTGCACACTGCCCTAGACACTGTCCTGTCCTGGGCTGGCCACTGCTGCCCTGGACTGCCTGCTGCTGCAGCCCTAGACACTGTCATGTCCTGGGCTGACCACTGCTGCTCTGCTAAAGAAAAATTTATAATACCATTAAGTTTCCATTAATAAATATCTGAATGTCATTACCAGTATTCATTAACCTTTTCTTTACAACTTGTACAGAAAAGTTCAGCTTCACATTTTGAAGCAAAATACTTTCATAAAGCATCTGAAAAATAATATAAACAAATTAAATACAAATATAATATACAAATGAAAAACAAATACAATATACAAATGAAAAACAAATACACATATAAAAAAATATATAAATACTGTATATATATAACAAATATATATAAAAAATAGCTATAAATATGAACAAAATAGCTATAAATATGGGAAAAAAATGGCTAAAAATAGCAAAATTTCAGCAAAAAATGGCTAAAAATAGCAAAATTTCAGCAAAAAATGACCCAAAAATTGTTTTTTTTTTACCCTTAAGTGTTTTTTGAGTCTGCCATTGCCAGGACTAACGTTGAAAAAATTTGGTAAAGGATAATTGGAAGAGTCTCCGGAGTAAAGCCTTCAAATTATCATTCACCAATAATATAAAAAAATACAAGCATAACGGACTACCTGGCAGTGGAGAGAATAACTCAGTAGGGGCCCAGTGAGTAACTCTCCCCCCGTCCAGGTAGTCCGTTATGCCTTACAGTACACAAATGCCAAGCTGAAGCTCTTAAGAATGGCACAAATGTTTTACCTCTAAAACTAGACAATTTCTTATTACTCAAATTTTGCCCAGGTAAAATTTTGGTCATTTTTGGACTTAGAATATTTTAAACCATGAATTTTTGGACTTAGAATACTTTTAACCATGAATTTTTGGACTTAGAATACTTTTAACCATGAATTTTTGGACTTGAAATATTTTTAACCATGAATTTTTGGACTTAGAATATTTGAAACAATGAATTTTCTGACTTAGAAATATTACTGTCAAGCACATCTAGATAAATACAAAAATATTTGGCATAATCAGATTTAATACATCAAAATAATTCTGACATTTCGGAACTACTATAATATACAGTCTACAGTACTGGGGTATTTACACTCTACCCTCGTTATATCCGATAGTTGTAATTCGGACTTTGGCTTAATTCGTATGTTTTCAAAAAATTAATCAAACGATTTGAATTTGAAATAAATGAGTGGTTCAAAAGTTGCCTTGGCTGCCACATACAATATTCTATTTATAAATATTGTACAAATATAAATATTTATAAAATATACTTACAATAATAAAGTAAATAATACCGCAATAAATAAATAATGTGAGATCGTAAACTGTAGATGATACTCCGAAGGTGTCATGGCCACACTGGTAAATGAAATAAAACCCTCAATGGAGAAATAAAAGATGAAATTTTGAAGCTGGTGTATTAAGACCTCCTTCAGCCAACTAACACAACAAAACAAGGGAGAAATACATAGAACAAAAGAATCAGTCTCCTGAGTTAGGTAGGGTGGGGATTAATCTTCAGTGGACCCCAGACCTGATCAACAATACTATTACACTTTCGAAATATCATCTATATATTATTAGTTCACCTCACAATGTACAGTAAGTCTTACATTTATTAATATTGTATTATTTACTTTATTATTACTGCTTGTACACTAAAAAAATATTTGCTTCCACAGCAATTATAAATAGAGTATTTTATGTGGCAGTCAAGGCTTGGTAACTGAGTATGTTTGTTTGTTGGAATAATGAGGAACAATCTGAACAAATTGAACAGAAAAAGAAAGAATAATTGAACACAAAAATTGAGAAATTGTCGATTAATGTCAAAATAATCGGAACTCCGTTAATTTGTATTTTCAGTAATTCTGTGGACCACAAACTGCACTATATCCTCATTGACTCGACAAAAAGAGACTCTGGGTCACTCGAATTACTGAAAATACGAATTAACTGAGTTTCGATTATTTTGACATTATTCGACAATTTCTCTTTTTTTTTTTCAATTATTCTTTCGTTTTCTGTTCAGTTTGTTCAGATTGTTCCTCATCATTCCAACCAACAAACATACTATAGCAGAACCAACATTTCTTTACAACCTGTCCTCATGTCATTCTTTACCAACCTCTAACTCCCCACATTCATTCGTGTATCTCTTGACCCAGTTAGTTTTCTCCTTTCTCTCCTGAACCATCTCAGTTTAGCCTCCAGGTACTGTACTTCTCTCTGTTGCCAACCATCTTCCACGTCTCACACAATCTTCTTTTCTCTTTTTATCTCTCTCTCTCCACTTCATCATTCCCGCCATCAACCACACTCAACGGAACATCTTTTATTATGGCCCAGCGTCTTGGTACACTGGCTGTTTCCTAGCCTCTCAACTCACAAGAAAATGTCTCCTTTTACATTCAGTTCCTTCACAATTCCCACACTCTCCTTCTTGGAACATCCACCTTCTTCCTCTCCCTCCATCTTTAAGTAACATATCTCTCTCTCACACACACACACACACACACACACACACACACACACACACACAAGTATCCTTAACTGGCAATTTGTTCTAATTTCCTGACAAAAATATAGCCAATCTGGGTTTCCGTGCCACCTGCCTTAGGCCTACATGATCAGCCTACTTGCCCTATTCTTAAACACATGTTACATACCATCCACAAACTCAAGTGTTCTTTCACCTTCAGTATTCCTTATTCCAAAGTCTTTCCCACCATGCACACCTTCATAACCTAGCGCGTCAAATTTGTAAAATAAAATGGTTTGTTTTAACGGAGATCACTACATTATAAACTGTATCTCCTAAAACAACATTAATTGGCATGACTATAACAATAATTGATGCTTAAGTCACTCAACAGATTTTACGGCAACATTAAATGACACCGAACTAATGAGATTGAATTCCTTAACTAAACTGTAAATACATTTAGTGTAACATAAATGGTAAAGATATGTAAAGTACCGTAATGAGTCAACAGTCTCACTAAATCATATTAATTCTAAAGTCCTTAAAAACACAAAAGAAAATAATTTTGTTCTTTAATTTCAAATCATATTGTGATGGCATTCTAAGTCCAGGTAAATTTAAAAGATAAATTTAGCCAAATTATACCTGGATAAACAGTGAGAAATAAAGATGTTCTGGTTTATAATTAAAAGGAGACAAATTGTCAATCTTCCAGAGCCACAGCTAAACACCTCAGTTTAATATTGACCTCCACCTCACACTACAACAGAGTAACACCTGTGATGAAACAACATTATCAGGGAAAAGATCAAAATATTTACATACACTAGACCACTTTAGATAGATAGATAAATATTTATTCTGTAAACTTATCATATACAGTAAGTTTACAATTGGTTCAACCTGCATATAGCCAAAACAGGTACACAGTTCAGCATGTATATATAGCTAATACAGGTATATAGTTCAACATGTATATATAGCTAATACAGGTATATAGTTCAGCATGTATATAGACAATGTAAGTATATACAGTATATGTAAAATACTGTACAGGTACACAATGCTGTATTATACAACACATGAATCTTTACTACAGAACAGAACTATTTGTGTCAGACCTCAGGTTAGCTTCTATGTATAACCTTGGATTTAGAGACCAACAGTAGAGCACGTGTGTGAGGCCACAGTCTGGGTACAGTTGGGTCATGTGATGCCAGGACAAATAAGGCAGCTACAGGTACCTTCTTTATCACTTAGTTAATGATCATCCCTCCCTACCATCCCTACAGCTAACTTCTGCAGGTGATGACTACCATCCCTACAGCTAACTTCTGCTGGTGATGACTACCATCCCTACAGCTAACTTCTGCAGGTGATGACTACCATCCCTACAGCTAACTTCTGCAGGTGATGACTACCATCCCTACAGCTAACTTCTGCAGGTGATGACTACCATCCCTACAGCTAACTTCTGCAGGTGATGACTACCATCCCTACAGCTAACTTCTGCAGGTGATGACTACCATCCCTGAAGCTAACTTCTGCAGGTGATGGCTGCCATTTGAGAGTTAAAAATGTAATCCATCCTCATTTACTCAGTGAGGATTATAGAGGAACAGTCGTCAGTGTTTCTGACCTGCATCTGATAATGGCTGAACCACATCATCAAGGTCAAAAGTAAGTAATAAAAAATGGCTTTGTTATAAACCATCAAGTGCCGTTGAGGACGTCTGTGTTGTGACCTTCTGAATCCTGCCAAGTTAAACCTTTTAAGGAAGGTCTTCACTCCCTGCAGTAGTTTGTAACAGGTGGTCAGACCTGCACAGTACCACACCACCGACTTAACACCAAAACATTTATCATTGTCGCCTCAGAGATCCACTACATCCTAACACAATAATAATTCTTGGCTTTTACACAATAAAGGCCAGAGGGAAGATGGAGTGGCAAGAGAAGGCCGCCTTTTAGTTGTGTGTGATCAAGACTCATTCATCAGTGGCATAAATGTTGAAGCTCACTATGGCCGAGTCAACATTAAATTATGATTCACATTTGTATAAGTTAACGTAGCGACATCATAACTACCGGTAATGAGCCGTTTGGGCGGTTGGTCTGTTAATACTGTACAGTATGGGAGGAAACTGTAGTATTGTACCTGCAGAAAACCTGCCATGTTTGGGAGTGAGGATAACATCAGTCCCAGGCTGGGGAATGAACCCAGGACACAGTAATGCACCACTAAAGATATACAACTCCTGATGTATCTGAGAGACAATCACCAGTGTTTTGGTATAAAAACAATAAACAATATTTTCATGGTTCTATATCACAAAAGTGGTCTAGTTGCTGAATATATTGGACATTTTCCTGCAAATATTTGTATTCCAGGTATTAATCACATGCATTGTCAACTGTCTATCATGGTTAGTACAGTAGTTCTGTCTACAGTACATATAAGACAGATATACTGTAGACAGATGGACAGAAAGATGTAGAGAGATATACCATATTTCCCACCATATAAGACATATTTTTAACCTAACAAATGTCTCCATAATTCACCCTACATCATATATAACTGTATACATATACACCAGGCCAAGCTGTGTTATTGTTATTTTTCAACTCGTAGTTTTGGGTAGATAAACGTAGTTTTATTCACTTTTTTTGCAGTTACATGCACACACAAGCTTTCTTAAACTTAGTCAAAAAATTATCAAAAGGTAAAAAAACACAATAAACTTTTATTACGTCGGCAGGAGTCAGCCCACGAGGGGGGAGCACACCCGTCTCCCACATCTTTAGTGAAACAGTTGTCAAATGGCATGCAGTATTTTTTCCTTCCTCTTATTTATTATTAATATTTTTATCCGTTCCTCACATTAGCGAGGGTCAACTGTACTGTACAGGTTATGGAACACATTACAATTTTTCTCATTTAAATATTTGTTCCTTTTATGAAAGTTTAGTTTAGGTGAACTTTCTTGAGACTATAACCCTTTCATGCTATATCTGTGGTTGCCTTTAATATGGTGAGAAATACAGTACAGTAGTATAGATAGATAGATAGCCTGAAAGTTAGACAGAAAGATAGAACAAAATCATCATCACCATCCAAATCATACAGCCATTTTCCACACCATCTCTTGCAGTCTGTCTTGTCAGGTTCTAAGATCATTTCTTACAATCTCTCCCCATGTCATTCTTGGCCACCTACCACTGGCTCTCCTCCTCACCACATTTAGAGTCATGCAACACTTAACCCAGCTGGTCTCATCCATTCTCCCCACACTCCCGATCTCGGTCTACTTATACGTAAATCTTGGCCGATACTCTCAATACCCAGCCGTCCTCTTAGCTCTGAACGGTAATTCTTATCTTTCAGCGTCACAGTACACATCCACCTCACCATTCTCATTTCAGTTCACTCAAGACTGCCCATGTTTCACGGATATATAACACCACACTTCTCACACCAGTTGTATACATTCTTCCTTTCATGTGATGGGAAAGTCCTAATCTTCCTCCAGCCATTTCTGACTCTTGACAATGAACAGAACCCTTTCCAGCACTGATCATGTCACCCCCAGGCAGCAGAACTCATCCATGACTCACAACACAGCAGCCTTCAGCACCCCTTCCAGCACTGATCATGTCACCCCCAGGCAGCAGAACTCGTCCATGACTCACAACACAGCAGCCTTCAGCACCCCCTCCGCACTGATCATGTCACCCCCAGGCAGCAGAACTCATCCATGACTCACAACACAGCAGCCTTCAGCACCCCTTCCAGCACTGATCATGTCACCCCCAGGCAGCAGAACGTCCAGTCCATGACTCACAACACAGCAGCCTTCAGCACCCCCCAGCACTGATCATGTCACCCCAGGCAGCAGAACTCGTCCGCGACTCACAACACAGCAGCCTTCAGCACCCTCAGCGCGATCATGTCGCCCCCAGGCAGCAGAACTCGTCCATGACTCACAACACAGCAGCCTTCAGCACCCCCTCAGCACTGATCATGTCACCCAGGCAGCAGAACTCATCCATGACTCACAACACAGCAGCCTTCAGCACCCCCTCCAGCACTGATCATGTCACCCAGGCAGCAGAACTCATCCATGACTCACAACACAGCAGCCTTCAGCACCCCCTCCAGCACTGATCATGTCACCCAGGCAGCAGAACTCATCCATGACTCACAACACAGCAGCCTTCAGCACCCCCTCCAGCACTGATCATGTCACCCAGGCAGCAGAACTCATCCATGACTCACAACACAGCAGCCTTCAGCACCCCCTCCAGCACTGATCATGTCACACTCATTGACACAGTCCAGGGATATATCCTCAATGTTGAGTGTCTCCAGCCTTGCTAAAGCCACATGTGCAACACTTATCCACTTCAAAGCACCTCTTGTGTATCAACCTTGCACACTCACTGCTGCCAACACCTTTCTATAAATATAAGACAGACTGACAGATACTTGTAGCTATAGATAGTCTGACAACTGATAGATAACAAATATTGACTGACATACAGATATTAAAGGACTGATAGAAAGAAATATAGATATAATGTAGTAAAGATAAACAGTTGGACATATATAGAAAAATAGAGATATGGATAAATACAACATACAGAAAGACACACCTGTAACAGCAGTGTCTCCATGATCCACATGTTAGTTTCTCAAGGTTTAGTTGTTAACTCATCTGTAACAAACAAACAAAAAACATTTAATATACACAACAGTTTATGATAAAAATATGTCCATAAATTAATAGTCATTCAGTACAGAAGTTGTATGTTTTATGCAAGTTTGGTTTATGTCAACATCTTGGGACTGTAAGCTTTCCATGCTTGACAAACTCTGTCATTTTTGTCTTAATATTCCCAGCTAAATTAGTGGTACATTAATACAGTAGTTTATACAGGTAAACATAGATAGATTGGCTGATAGACTGACACATAAGGAGATGAAAATATAAATAATCAGTACTGTACATACATACAGATATAGATAAGCCATAAGACTACCCAGGTTATCACAAAGGATGCATTATTACAAATATCTTCTTCCCCATAAGAGTGTATGTGTGCCGATCACGGTCAGTTGTACATCTACGGTCTAAAGGTTTTCCCCCTTATTTTTTCCACCGTTGTTGTTTTCCCCCGGGGAGAAGGTGTCCCTCGTACTTCATAAGATCTCATAAATGTAATAGGTAGAGCCCCATTATTTTAATAGTGGGGTTTTACTTTCGTGATAAATAGATTGATATATACTGCACTATAGATAAAACAGTAGATAAAGTGACAGAGATAAGTGGTAGATAATGGATAGATGTACTGAAAGACACAAACATACATAAGCAATTAGACAGATAGAAAGTTATGAAAACAGACAGACAAATGACTAACAGGAGCACAAGTTACAGCAGCTTGTCTTAAGAGTTTGAGGAGCACAAACAGCTCCTCTTTAAGGTATGAGAGTTTCTCCTATAGTTTACCTTGTTATATGTGGTACAGTGCCACGGTGCCAGTGTCACCTTGTTATATGTGGTACAGTGCCACGGTGCCAGTGTCATGGTGACAGCTCTTGTTCCATACACCAGTTACCATTTTCAGCCATGGTGGAGCAGTTCAATTTCCCAATGTTTTGTTGTAACATCTGTAACAAACAAAATTATTAACTATAAAGAACTTGGGAGGTTAGGTTAGGTTGGGTTAAGTTAAGAGTAGGTTAGGTTAGATTAGGGTGTTTAATCATCGGGTGAAATAAGCTAGGGTGTCTAATCTTCATGTCATCCATTCTGAGGCCAGTAATGAAACAGTCAATGATAAACTTCACAAGTGGAACAATTAAGCCAAGTGACATAAACAGAGAGTAATGTAAGGCCATTCAATTTACATATTGAAGTAAAATATTGCAGAGAGGTGAGGTGAGGTGAGGTTAGCTTACTTCAAAGTAAAGGTAAATACTGCAGAGAGGTGAGGTGAGGTTAGCTTACTTCAAAGTAAAGGTACATACTGCAGAGAGGTGAGGTGAGGTTAGCTTACTTCAAAGTAAAGGTACATACTGCAGAGAGGTGAGGTGAGGTTAGCTTACTTCAATGTCCAGGTTATAATGATGTAAGTGACTAGGAGGTGGGATGTTAAGTTAGGAAGGAGAAGTTGTGTATCGTGTTATAGTACAGTAGCCTATATGAGGTTAGGTACAGCCCCCTCCACTACTGTACTGTGTTTACAGGGGCTCATCAGGTTTTGTGCAGTGTGGCAGCCCTGTGTTCGATAACATTAGACGGAAGGAAATTCATAATAGTAAACATATTATGGATTCAATATTACAACAAATATCTCAAAGATAATGATTTGTGGAATGTTTATATGATGAGCCCCTGTAGACCCACTAGTGAAGGGGACTGTACCTTAGGTCTAACCTAAACTAATTACAGTATTAATACAAATTTAAAAAATTAACCAAGTAATATTTTAAAAGACGTGAACAGGTTAACGAGAAACATTAGGAAACTTTTCAATAAACTAAAGTGATCTCTATGTGCTTTTGTAAGTGAAGAAATTTATGTTTTACCATAAATATTTCTGCCATTGTTGTTGTCTGCTCTGTTTATTTACAACTGACCATCTCGGTCAAAGAAACTCAGGGAAAAATCTCGCCATTCCTGGTGGGTACACTCAAGAGTGCCCGTGAACTATGATTGGTCACTACTGCCCTGGGATGCCTATGATTGGCTGCTGTATCTCACAGCCTCCCTTTTCAAACTCTCATATCATGACACCATCAATTCATTGCCTGTTGTCATTATACAAGCTTGTTCGCTCGTTCACTGCTGTTTTAAATATTATCTGTGCTGAGCAGTACTGTATTGTACATTCAATAAGTGTAAAAGTACCATAGCAGTGTATGCTAGTGTGTACATACTGTACTGTACAGTAAACAGTACAACCTCTTCCACACATTATAGTAAATTTTTACAAGTGAACTTTCACCAATTTTAATGGTTTTAACACAAACAATAGTTATATCTCATCATTCTGAGTAACTCTTTCCATACACTTCAGTGGCAAATGAATAATAATGAACCTGACCAAAGAAACCTAACCTAACCAATTTCCTAGCTGGTGGTCTAGGTAGATCACTTTTGCTTGTGGCATTTTTATCACAAATTACATGTAAGAGAGACATCTAACATTCTCGGTAAATATTCCTCCGATAAATCTGTCGACACACCGACGTTATTATTTAATTAATTTATTACACCCCAGGGGGCGACAAACCTAGTCACAAGACCATGCGGCGGACACTGGCACTCGCGTCTCACAGGACTCGCTATGACTCGATGTGAGTTGAGGACAGTGGGATTTAGCAGCCACCAAAGCATGGGTAGCGTACAAGATTTAAATCTAAATTATTATGTATAAGTAGATGGTGACATATACCTCTTGTGGTCCCTGACAGTCAAGGCAATAAAGCAATGGGACAGTTACAGGAAGGTCATCACCCGCCTCAACGTTGTCGTGCTCTCGTGTCACAAAAAACGTAGAATTACACCATGACGCTTAGACGAAGTTGCTTTCATTGGTAACGGATATCAAAACAAGTACTTTCTGTTTAATATGGCTGGGGTCTGTCCCCCGCTAGGAAGTTAGGTTGGTTAGGTCAGGTTTTAGTAAATGTCGCCTCTTTTAGTATTATTTTAGTTTCGGTCATCTAGGGAATCTTAGATTAGGTTAGATATATGGTAGTTCCTGGGTTCTGTGGCTAGGTTAAGTTCTAGTAAATGTCACATCTTTTAAAATACTTACTATAATAATAATAATAATAATAATAATAATAATAATAATAATAACAACAACAACAACTCTTTGGACCAATTTTTTAAATCTGTAAACTTTTTTCTGGTGGTAGTGGTGAACAATACCCAAAGAACATCTATGGAAAAATGAACCAAATCAAACAACTTCTGGTGGTGGCAGTTCCTCATAAATTGCCGCTATCTGCTCCACCATTATGATTTATATTGGATTGAATTAGTTCATTTTTTTAGATATATGATGTTTGGATGATTGTAAGGAAGATAATGCACAGATTAGATGGTTAGGTAGGGTTTTAATAGGTTCTATGCAGCCTCGCTTTGGTCGGTTTAGACCAACCACGGCTCTGAGTTGAGCAATGGGTTTTGCTGGTAGTTTAAACCATTGGTCCACAACCCCCATTTATCGGGAAAGAGCTACAGTACGTTGGTGGCCGGCCGAGTGACGTCTAAATTTTGTACCGCTCGGAGACAGTTTCATATTACCATATTTTGTACTGCTAAAAGTTATGTTTCCTTACTTTTGTTACATTATAATTAACTCGTGCTATTATTTTAAAGCAGAGTATGTATGTTATTTGCTGAAATGAATGCTATGTTTAGTCTTAATTATCGGTGTTGTTTATAACAATTTTCTGACAATAAAATATAGTCCGGCATTTATGATTTTACATTCAGTACTGTGGAACACAGTGCTGACTTAGGTTGGCTTAGTACATCTGCAGCCGATCACTGATTACTTGCACCTTAAGTGGCCGACTAGTGTATAAAGGTTGTGGACCCCTGGTTTAAACAATAAAGTGTTACAATTGTTTAAACTATCAGTAAAACACATTGCTCAGCTCGAGAACCGTGGTTAGTCTAAACTTCAAATTGACCAGTTTAGGTACAGTAGGTTAGGTCAGGTTCTTCAAGTCATATCTGGTGTTAACTGTCTCCTCCATCTTTACCTGAAATAATATTGGAAGAGAAAAGAGAGCGAGTGAATAAGAGAGAGAGAGAGATACTAGGTGTAGGAGGCTGGGCTTACCTGGCCGTTGTGGTATTGATCAATTCTTAATCCTTTTATAAGTCTTCTTGGTAAAGTAATGGTAGTAGTTCTCTCCCTCCAACAACCTTCATAATTGATCATTTATGAAGCCTTTCCTCACGGAAGTGTGAATCCATCTTCTTCTCTGATCTTTATTCTTCCTTAAAGTGATGGAGAATTGTATCACACACCTGCTGTTAACATCCCACAACTGACCAAGAGCTCGACAGGTGTGTTGTTGTGGTGACGTCATGAGATAGACAGACAGGAAAGAGTCTACCGTCACGTGAGCCACTGAGCCCCGGTCACAGCCATCTGTTGGCAACCTGGCTAACTAAAAGCTATGTGGCTTACGCAGTTTCGCCTTGCTGTCCTGTCTTTCTTATTATAGTCTTTACTTTTATCCTCTTCGCCACTGATCGGCTCGTTAGCTGCTTGGGCGATCGGTCACGTCTCTGTCACACACTGTTGGCAAGTACTGGTCATGCACCGGCTCCTGAACCTGCTCCAGTGTTGGTCAAGTCTTTAATTGAGAGGTATCATTATCCCTGCCTTTGTTTCTCACCATGTTTTAGTACCAGTAATTACAGTAAACCCCCGTGACCTAGCCCTCGAGTCATGCTACCACAGATAAGAGGTTAGGGGGTATCCATGAGAAGAAAGGTAACTAAGTCATAGTTAACACGTGGAATTAATAAAGTAATAAATTGAAAGAAAGAAGGTTTAAAGAGAACTGTAGTGACCTGCTCTCCTTACAATGAGCTGAAGTTCTCGGGCCATTGCGAGAAGAAGGTAAATCAGGCAAATAAATTATTGGGTCTTATAAGAAGGTCGTTCAGATATCTAGACGGTCCATCCCTTGTAACGATCTTCAGGAGTGAAGTGCTTCCCCATCTGGAGTACTGTCACCCCATCTGGTCCCCGAGATATGCCAGGGACTGTCAGTTGGTTGAAAATGTTCAAAGGAGGGCCACCAGACTGGTGCCTGCACTTCGGCACCTCAGCTACCCTGAGAGATTGGAGCGCCTGAACTTGCCTAGCTTATACTACAGACGGGCAAGGGGGGACCTAGTTGAGGTGTATAAGCATCTCAGGGGGCACTACTCAGTTGAGTGTCCTTACTTGGAGCTGGCGGACGCTCGCCCCACAAGGGGTCACAGCTCAAGATTGAAGAAGCTGCAAGTCCAGAAAACCGTGAGGGCAAACTTTTCGGAGTGAGGGTTGTAAACTCTTGGAACAATCTACCAGAGAGTGTTGTGACGGCACCGAGTGTGAGCTCTTTCAAAACAAGACTTGACCAACACTGGAGCGGGTTCAGGTACATTCAGGAGCCGGTGCATGACCAGTATTTGCCAACAGTGTGTGACAGAGACGTGACCGATCGCCTGGGCGGCTAGCGCCTGGGCAGGGGGAACTGCTGGGCCGGGGGCGGCGTCTGAGGCAGGACGGGTGTGCTGGGGTCGGTAGGACGTGGTGCTTGGGGCAGGAAGAGGAGCTGGTGTCTGCTTAGAGAAACAGTGCTGCTCTAGGGCGTCTAACCTGTGGTGTAGAGACAGTAGCTTTAGAGCCGATGAGAGCTGCCCCTGTGTGGATAAGCCAGTCTTCCATGTTACTTGAAGACTGGGAGAGTGATCAGTTTCTCCTCCATCCTGTGTGAGTGCGATTCTCGGGGGTCACCATTTGTGGGTCAGTTTCTCCTCCATCCTGTTTGAGTGCGATTCTCCGGGGGTCACCATTTGTGGGTCAGTTCCCTCCATCCTGTTTGAGTGCGATTCTCCGGGGGTCACCATTTGTGGGTCAGTTTCTCCTCCATCCTGTGTGAGTGCGATTCTCGGGGGTCACCATTTGTGGGTCAGTTTCTCCTCCATCCTGTTTGAGTGCGATTCTCCGGGGGTCACCATTTGTGGGGTACGTGATGTTGGTTCACACTCAGGATGGGATGGAGAAAGGAAACTCACAATGTGCTCTCTGTATACATGTTGTATTGGATGTACAATGCAGCTTGGTGCTGGGAAAGCAGCATGGTTACAAGCGTTGAGTAGAGAGAGCTGGTTGGTGAGGGTTTTCAGAGGAGGACCAGCTTGTGGGTCGCCATGCTCGCCGGCGGGAGCGAGGGCTGCCAGGCAGGAGCGGAGGAGGTGGTGTTGCTTGCTCGTTGGTGTAGGTAGAAAAGAGAGGTAGATCACCACGAGGTCAGGTCTTATATAGCGGAGGTAGGCGTGGCTTAATAGTTGACCTCCGTCATGTAAGGCGGCGCTGGTTGACCTAGACCACGAGGCATACACTGGGGAATTTGCGAGGTCGGCTAGCCAGCGACAAGCGTTTGTAGGGGAGGAATCCACTACAATACTACGCTACAGAACCAATTAAGAAATAAAGATTAGAAGAGAAGGGAGAAAATTAAATATAATTACAGCACCTTCCCTACAAATTGTGTGAAGAAATAATTAATTTTGTTCGTTGTGCATGATAACTTGGCGAGCTTGTAGTTATATGTCTCCTCGTGTTGGTGGTGAGTGACATCACATGTTTTCCATCACTTTTAGGATTTTGAATGTTTCGGTGAAATCTGCTCTATTGTGTCTATGTCTGAAGTGTTGTTAGTCCTAAAGCCCTCAGTATACTTGGATAATCTAGATGACATAGATCCATATTATGTGAAATTTCTACCAGAAAACATGTTGTAGAAACAGACACTACCCAAATTATAGAATATCCTCCAACTCTTTGCTCAAAATATTGACTTACAGGTGATGGGTGATTCATTGTTGGTTTATTAAGTGTATCTTAAAATATAAAGAATAGCTGTCAATTGTATTTGTTCCGTTTAATAATGTTGGGAAAAATGTGCTGTCCACACAGATATTTCACATAATACCGGTGTCGTGCGACAAACCTTCCGTGTGCAAAACCTTCCGGGGTAAATGCTTAGTTTTGGGTATTAAATTTAATTATTTTGTAATGTTAGGTTAGGTCAGGATTTCTTGGATTTGATTGGTTCATTTTTTGTGTTCTTACCCCACAATTTCCATCGACTTCAAAGCACTGCCCAATTTGTGCTTTCATTGTCTTTGGTAGTATGTTTCATATCATCCTTATACTGTAGACAGTTTGCCCAAGATATAATAGGAAATTCATTCAAAACCTTCCGTTACCGTATTTATTAATATTTTCAGCTCTCACAAATCAATCATACATCTTAGATGTCGATAATGAACATCAGTAATTGCCGAGCCCGGAAGGTTTATCGCACCGGAATCATCTTAGTCACTGTGTTGCACTTGACCAAACCTACACTCTGAGGACCACACTTGACCACACCTACACTGAGGACCACACTTGACCACACCTACACTGAGGACCACACTTGACCACACCTACACTGAGGACCACACTTGACCACACCTACACTGAGGACCACATCTACACTCTGAGGACCACACTTGACCACAGCCTACACTCTGAGGACCACACTAGACTACACCTACACTCTGAGGACCACACTTGACCACATCTACACTCTGAGGACCACACTTGACCACATCTACACTCTGAGGACCACACTTGACAACACCTACACTCTGAGGACCACACTTGTGCACTCTCTGGGGACACATTAAACACCACCTACACACTCTGGGGACCACATGACTACACCTACACTCAGGGACCACACTTGACTACACCTACACTCTGAGACCGCGTGACACCTACACTCTGAGGACCACCTTGACTACACCTACACTGTGAGACCGCGCCAGGCTACACCTACACTCTGAGGACACACTTGACCACACCTACACTCTGAGACCACCTTGACAACACCTACACTCTCTGAGACCACACTTGACTACACCTACTCGGACCACATGACAACACCTACACTGAGGACTACATGAGCACCACACTCTGGTACACTTGACTACCACCTACACTCTGAGGGGACACTTGACCACACCTACACTCTGGGGACCACCTTGACTACACCTACACTCTGAGGACCACTTGACTACACCACTCTGAGGACGCCGTGCACTACCTCTAAGGACCACACTTGACACCTACACTCTGAGGGGCCACACTTGACAACACCTACACTCCTGAGGACCACCTTGACCCAACACCTGCACTCTGGGGACTGCTTGACTACACCTACACTCTGAGGACCACACTTGACCACAGCCTACACTCCGAGGACCACATTTGACCACACCTACACTGAGGACCACACTTGACCACAGCCTACACTCTGAGGACCACACTTGACCACACCTACACTGAGGACCACACTTGACCACACCTACACTGAGGACCACACTTGACCACAGCCTACACTCTGAGAACCACACTTGACCACAGCCTACACTCTGAGGACCACACTTGACCACACCTACACTGAGTAGCAAAAGCAACTCGTTTAAAGGTTAAGGTGAAAAACTTACAAAATAATCGCACGCTGAAAATGCCTGGAGACTAAACGATTACAAGGCGGACCCAGGGGGTCCGGGGGCCCAGAGCCCCCCTTTTCATCAGAAAATTCCAATAGTTTTTCTTTAATACTGTACAGTATTGTACTCAGGTGTTTTTGTGTAGTAAAAAGTATATACTATTGACTTTAGAATACCTCCTAATATCAAGTGCACTATCCTAACGGCTAGTCAGCTGAGAATTGGTATAAACATAAATAAGAATTAAATATTAAAAAATAAAGGTGAGAGAATTATTGGTGTTACCCCATAAAAGGCTCTGCAAGGCTCATTTTCTTTCATTACCAGAATATATGGAATTAAAGGGGTTAACTTGTGTTACCTCACCCAGCCTATTGGTACTGTATAATATTTTATCATTTTTACCACTGGTCGACTATAGACGGTTGGTCACATCTGTTACACACAGTTGGCAAGTACTGGGCATGCACCAGCTCCTGAATGTATCTGAACCTGCTCCAGTGTTTGTGGAAAATTATCTCAGTTTCTACAAAAAGTGGAGGGTTATTTAATCATTTGGCGTGGACTAAGATGAAAGTATAATATTTATACAAATGTGTAATGATAGACTGATGTGGTTTTCCCAGGTTTATCCGCAGAATAGAATATAACTAAGTAAAGCTGAGAATAAAAGGAAGAGGAAATACACAAGTAGCACACTGCCCTGCTCTTTATTTATACTATATATTTAGCACACCCTGCCATAAAAAGCAGTTAACCCTGCTACAGGAAGAGGGAGCGTGGAGGTGGACGACAGGTGACACAGGCCTTCATTCAACACCACTTCCCTTTCATTTTCAGAAATGTACATGGACAATTGACATCCAAAATATATATATATATATATATATATATATATATATATATATATATATATATATATATATATATATATATATATATATATATATATATATATATATATATATATATATATATATATATATAAAAGTAATTAGATAAAGTACTTATGATTCAACACCAAAAATAATGAAAATGTCTACTGTATAACTAAATCATAGCTACATATTTCATGTTTTGACATTGGTTGCAAACCACAAGGTCATCATATGACACATGTTTTAAATGTTACCATGAACTGACATCACTTCATACTTACACCCTACATTTTGATTCCTCGATGATGATACAAATTTACTGACCAACAAAAAGTTCAACAGATAACAAATTTAATACAACTAGATAGATATTCAAATTTTCTTTCTTATTAATTTGTTCATTTCCCCATTAAATTAAATCAACAATATTCTTTTCCTGTCAAATTATTACTTACAGTAAAAACCCATAAAACAGACATGTTATCTATCAAACACGTCAACACTATGCGAGTTTTTCTTTATACTCAGCAAAGAAATTTAGAATGTAAACCTTAACACTTAAGTGAATAACAATATAGTACTATACTCAACATATGGCGAGGCACTTCAATTATACCCACAAACGGGCTTCACAACCCTCCTACTTTCATCACAAGCTGTCACAAGGCAACTTTACTGACAAAATTATTGTAGAGCAACTTTACATCATAATAACCAGCATAAAGTCACCACAAGGCAACTTTACACATACCGCAAACTTGAGTACAGTTATCATACAAACAACTTTACACACACACACCTGCATACTGTACTGTACATGCTACTGAAGAGTAATGCTACTTATCACAGTCAAGTTCAGTAAGTAGCATCAACCACACTGTACAAAATGAGCCATTGACATACCAAGGAACCTCTTTACCTCACCTATCCACAAACTTTTTGTTAAGAATGACTCATCTAATAACTATGAGGCATTATTAAAAAAAAATATAAAAACTTAAATCACATAAAAAACCCTTGAAAATAACTTGTGTTTTCACCTTTTAATATATACCACACCACTCTGAAGGAGCAATACCTGTCATGGCTGTGCAGACCTTGAGTAATATCCTTTCCACTAACATTTGGGCTGGACTTAAGTACCATATGTACAATTATAATTATAATAATAATAATAATAATAATAATAATATTAATAATAATAATAATAACCAAGTGTTGTGGAGAAAGATGGTTACATAATAAAAAACAATGGAAAAAAAAATTCACATACCCAAAATACAATCCAGTACATACTTCCCCAAAATGCCTCTCTGACTCACCCTATCACATGAACCTTGGAAGAGATCAGCGGTGAATATTGGACAAGAACATGTGTTGCCAGATCTTCACAGCCAACAGTCTCCCCTTCCACTCTACAACGCCCCCAACACACAGACGGACAATATTCACCTCTTCTCTTCTCGGCGGCTTCCTCCATGCATCACCTCCCAGCCATCCCACCCCCTCCCAAATATATTTTTTATTTAATTTAATTTTTTTACTATTTTCAATTTCTATAAAAATACTATTAGGTTACGCTTGTAACCTTTTGGCTCTACCAAAGAAAAAAAAAAGAAAAAAAAGTGCAACTGTATCCTTACCCAAGTCTAATAAGAAATACTCCTCCTCAGTGAACACAAGACCTTACAGCAAGACTTCAAGTGACCATTATGTATATCTAATTAAGTTATATAGTGTTACATACGGGTAAGAGGTAACAAGGGCCAGATTGTGATTTATGGTCACAAACTGATCCCATCCATAAAAAAAAGTCTCCACAAAGAATTAACACCTTCTAAGTTTTGTATTAAATTTGATAATGATAATCCTATGTTGAGAAGTTCACTGGTACATCATCCTCACTCTGGCAAGACCTATACAGGGGTATTACCATCAATTACCTCAAACTAAGTTTCTTGAATCATTATTTTTTTAAATATACTTAAGGTGAATAGGTTTGTCCTATGTGAGGAGCATAAACAACAATAAAGTAACATCTGAAAATATATAAAACTAAAATAGCAAATAATTAGCATCACATATACAGTACTGTACAGTAATCCCCCATCATTCATAGGGTTTATGTTGACAAGGACTGAACTGTCTAATGGGAAATAAGGGCTTATAGGAAGTGATTCCTGAGAGACATACCTAAGATCAAAGTAAAAAAAAATACACCCAGCCTTGATGCTCTCCCTACCACTATGTGTCAAGTTTTTCTAACCCCTACAAGGTTCTGATAAGCACATGTTTGTAAGAACCAAGCCTCTCAGTATTGATTCATATTTCCATCATACAGCTGGCACCTGCACTTCCTGTTACCATAAAGTACACACTCGTGGCTTCACATCTCACACATGTGCCTCAGCTAATGTGAAAATCTACGAGTGCAGTCAACCTCAGCTAATGCAGGTTTCTTCAAAAGATTTGATTATCAGTTCTATAAAAATAATAATCAATCATTTCTCTAACAAATGCAGAAAAAGCCTGACTGACCAACTACAGTCTGTTTAAAACTGATGTGTGCTGAGCCCTGAACCCTGTGTGCCATTTCCCACCATATGCGGACACACTTAACTCGACTGGAATGAAAATGTAGAGACTTTCTGGATGGTAATGCAAAAGAAAGAGTGAGGAAGATCAAGACACTAACTGAGAAGACGGCTAATTTAAACAACTTACACAGCAGTAAGAGTCTGGTGGCAGTCAGCCCAAAGTACAAAATTAACAAGTCACATATATGTACAATTCATTCGTGCGAGTACAAAATTTTTGCTAATCATGGAATCAACAACCAAATGGTAAAGTGTCCTAAGTACCCAGGAGAAATCCCCTCATCATCATCACCACCAAAAGATTATCATCATCACTTCCTCGTTGAGTAATACATGTTCATTATCTGGTTGTTAATATATAATTATATTTAGAAGAAATTCTAAATGTTACCATCAGCAGCCATTTCCCCTAACCCTATTTTTCCCAAAAGATATTAGGTTAACTCAATGGGGATTTGTCCAACACCCTGCTTTAGAAGAACATACGAACACCCAAGCTGGACGAGACTACAGTGGGTAGACGTCTCACAGCTATGATGGCGACAGATTTACCAGTTGAACATAAAACTGCCCAAGGGAGCAAGATGTGTTCACCACCAAGGGACCAAAAGCTACAGTGGCCTCTACCTGTGTATTCATAGAAGAAACATATAAAATCAAGATGCCAAAATAAAAATGCTCCCTAAAATTGTGGCCATTTGAAGACTTCCTGCACAACCAACAACTTATCAACCCCCACCCTCCCCATCTATACATGTTCAAATACAGCACGAGTGAGCCCAACAATCGAACACCTTAACTTTTCCCCAATTGTAAAAATTAGGTACCCATTCACAGCTGGGTGGACCGAGAATGCCCCAGGCAAGAATTGGCAACCCTTAAGGACAGATGGCGAGTGCTGTACAGGTCCACTCAGCAGTAGCCGCCACCACCACCACATCTCCCCTCCAGAATTACCCACCATAACCTGCACCAGCGATGCCCTGGCAACTAAATGCCTTCACTTCTCACATATGATGGGAGGGAGCCCAATACATGAGTCACATTACATACAACTTTACTGTAACTGCTCTATGGTTAATGGCAAGGAAGCATAAGAACATCTTTCACTACAAGAATAAAGATGATACAATCTCATTATTACTGCAGGGACACACACACACACACATTCAGGTGATAATGTACAGTACAACATAGTGTAACCTCTGTAACAGTACAGCAAGCTGCCTCACATCCATATAAACAAGCAAATATTACTGGAGTGAGTTTAAAGAGTATTATCTTTAAAAGTGTTGCAACAGAAATAGTCTACAGTGTCTGACAGAGAAGCCTACAGTGTTTAAACATAGTAGTGTATGATGTCTTACCAAAGTAGCCTATGGTGTCTAAATGTAGCCTACAGTGCCAAAAGAGTTTAGGGTGATGAGCACTAGCCTAGTGTCTAACTATAGCTTATAATGATGAAACAGTAACCTTTGGTGTCTAACTGCAGTCTACAATGATGAACAATAACTGTGTACCCTACAATGATACACATTAGCCTACAGAACCAACTTGGTACCTTACAGAGCCTAAGACTAATCTACAATACCTAACAAGGTAGCCTATGGTGTGTTATGAGATTGATAATGGTGGTGTATGAGGGGGAAGAAAAGGAGAGTAAGTGTATATATATATATATATATATATATATATATATATATATATATATATATATATATATATATATATATATATATATATATATATATATATATATTTTATATATATTGGAAAAAATGTCAGTTATCACACACCAACTGCATACAACAATTATGACAAATTTCCAAAGTAAATAATTAAATTAACTGCACATTTGGGATAGTATAAATTCACTGTCTGTTTTAAGTTATCCAGTCACATACAACTGTTGAAGAACTGTGTTTTGATTCCCGATCAATTAAATTAAGGCATGACTGATATAAGCATTACACATCCCACTTCATCAGGTTCACATCAGGAGGAAGGGATAAGGGGGTTACAGTATATTGTGGTACATACCCTCCCCTCCTTCCATTTTGTGTGTGTTAATGAACTTCAAGACTCCGGATGGGACACGCCGGGCAACACTACTCCTCGACCCAAATAAAAACTTTAAACAAGGTAAATGTCAAGTGTCAACTCTAAAAAATCTCAACAGCTGCAAGAGTTTTTCCCCCGGTTCAACAATGTGACTATGGTCCGGCCCAAGAGCACAATGATCCACAAAAGAGATCATCACAGTACCCGGAGACTCGTGACGCCGCTCATAGATTCTCTCATCCCAGGTGATGAATTTTTTCCCTCTCTTAACTTGTGTATTGAAGAAACATGGCCTGTGCTATGTACAAATATTTTAGGACCATGAGGGGAGGGGATGGCCGTCCCTACTTCAAAAACTGTCACAAGAATAATATATATATATATATATATAATGCCAGGGATATATCCATAAGCAAAATATTAATATTAAAAAAAATTAATAATAAAAAAATACAAACAAAAAATAAAAAATCCTAACAAATTCATGACTGACTCACTGACTACTATTATTATCAACAAAATTGTTAACCTATTTACACGACAGGTCAGCTATAGATTCTTACTACAAAGGAAAAAGCTATGTAACCCCAAGGTCATCGTGTTTTCCTCTTCATAGCTGCACGAAGCAGAGAATCAAAGTCCATGGAGTCACTAGGAGGTGGTCTGGCGGGTACGGGGACCCCAACTGCCGCCCCAACGTACTGCGAGTTGTTGGCCTGAGCATCTGTACAAACACATTATAATATAAACCATCGACATTAAACCTAATACAGTATATACAAATGCACACACAAAAAAATTGATAAACCACAAACTTAAACCCAATACTCAAATACTGTACACCTCTAAAATTTTGAAATTAAATTAAAATAATAAACTGAATACAAGTACACAATAGAAAATTTTTAAAGTATTATAAAACCACAAACTCATTTAACCCAGTATGTAATAACACCATAACTATATTGATAATAATAGCACACTAAGAGGTCTTAACAATACAACACAACTTTTTATTCTACTCATAAACACTTTATAGTTGCAGTATTACGAGAATGTAGAAGATACACACTTTCATATAATATAGAAACTTAATAATCTTCCAGGAGACATTTATCTCATCATGTTGCTGTATTATCTGTCCAGTACAGGTTGGACCTCACTAATCCTGAACCCGATAGTTTGGCACTTTCTATGGTTCGGGACGGCGTTTGAATCTGGCTGTCGTTAGTTTCCAGGTATCAGTAGGCCTATAATATACAATTTTCTCTTTGCTTTTTCTGCTAATCTACTTATTTCTGTGTCACAATACAGTAAACTTGTGCCATAGCACTAATACTTTGTCATAGAGAGGGCCAGTAAGCCTGGGCTAGATTTATGTTGATGCAAGTTGTATTGGCACCAGTAGTACATTTTATGCATTGTTTTTGCCCTTTTTTGGCCTCCGCTTCAATGATTCAGAATTTTTGCTAATCTGGAACCGGTCTGGTCCCAAGCTACCCGGATTATCGAGGTCCAACCTGTACCACTAATATCGAACAATAATTTCAACAAAAAGTTCTTCTACATCTCACAAATTATCACAGACATATACAGTATGTATATAATCAATAGCCTCTAAATCTTATTCTGAGAACCTCTTCTCTCCCAAGAATCCCAACACGTCTACACCACCATTACTATCAATATCTGTGATCTCACCTTTAATGAAACTGTCGCCTCATGAAATTTCTCTACCTGTACAGAATAACAATATGTGCTACACCTGTACTGATGCTTTTTTAATAAAGTTCCTGTCTCAGTCTAACCTTAATATTTACTCACCTAAATCAGAATACTGGACTTTGCAGAAAGCTCTGCGACCACCAAAGCACAGATCATAGCGTGGTACAGAGGGGTCATCATTGCCGTGCTCAACAGCATTGTAAGCTTCATCTCTATTTTTATAAGTCACAAATCCATAGTTGTCACTGGTGAATAGATCAATGGTAAATGTCATTATTTACAATTGGTAATCTGAAGAAAAATAATATAAATAAAATATAAACTTTTGGTTGAAACAACATACAGTACCACTGGTTGGGTGGCATACACTGCACGTCACATAGTAATATGGTGACAGCACATGATATTGAGACATTGTGTGACACTAAATAAATTTGGGTAATGGTTGTCAGCAACATGATAGCGAAATAACAATTAACATTTAACGAAGCAGTTTCTGTACTCAACTCTTCATAATAATAATAATCGTATCGTGATGTAGTTCTTTACATTGTATCAAGTGAACAAGAGATAAATAAAATGGCAACACTCACCCATGTTCTCTGAAGTGTACGCTGATGTCAACAATATCTCCAAACTTCTGGAAGCGGCGGCGAAGGTCCCCCTTAGTGGTGCCCTCAGATATACGGCCGATGTAAATGACTCTCCTCTCTTCAACCTGTCTGGTCCTGTCTTCATCTTCCTGTAAACAAAAACAAAGTTTTACAATTAGTAACACACAGTTGGTTCAGTGTACATGTGGTAACTGATAAGTCTTAGTACTTGAAGAGTTTTCACTAGAGTACAATACTACCTCTACTAATTTACGAGTACAATACCTTTACTAATTCAAGTTACTTCTTGTTTTTCAAAATTTTTATAACCAGTTGTACTTCCTTTAATCTTTTACATATGTCATTTGTTTGCTTCTCACCTGTTGCACTTCATTTACTGTACTCTTTTACTTCTCAAAGGACAGTGGTTCCTGAGGTATGAAGTTCTTATGGGTGTGTGATCTGTACTTACGGTCTTGTATAGAGGAGGTTGTCAAGATGTGTGTTTGTGGACGGTTGTGTTGGGAGGTGTAGGTGTGATACCGTTAACTGTGTGGGAGTAGAATTTTGCTGCCATGCAATACAGTAGTTAACTACTCAACGACACACAAAACGTCTTACTGGTCTCCTGGGCCTCAGAGGAAGTCGATGGTGAGGAGATCGTGACTGTCTGTTTGGGCCCCACACTGGAGAGCGCGATCTTGTCACTCTGCTGTAACGCGATGAAGACAGAGACCGGGAACGACTGTGAGATCTTCGTCTTCTTTCTCTGCTGGCAAGTCTGTGTGAGTACACCCATCTGATGGAAGAGATGATAAATTAACACACAAGCCTATTTTTGTGGACTTTTTCTTTAATGTTAACTTCACTAGGCAGAAAAAGTGTTACAATGGACTACATAAATTTATCACGAATTCACATGAAATTATTCCATCACAAACCTGTCTCTGGTCTTAACGGAGTTAGAACGAGATCGTGATCTTGAACTGGAACGTGTAGAGCTGCAACTGGACGACGAACAAGACCTTCCTTTTGATCTTGAGCGAGAACGAGACCTTGACCACCGTCTCCGTGATGAACTATGTGGCGACTGTGAGGAACGAGAGCACCTGTGAGTTCTTCTCCTCTTTCCACGGGAGGATCTGTGCTTACGTGAAGAATGTTTTTTAATAATGACTGGACTTTTGCTACGACTTCTGCTCCTACTCGAGGACGACCATCTCCGTGACGAAGGACCGTGTGAACCGCTCTTCCAGCATCCATCAAAGTTACCGGCCGAACAACTGTTGTATGACAATGATAAGACCGACAGTGATTTCTCTGGTGATTTAGCCTCTAGATCTTTTGGCAACTTGGCAGAGGTTGAATTGTCAAGACACCCCGTAGTTGTTGTACCTCCAGAGTGTGGTTTGACTGGGGTTTCCGATTCAGAGTCTCCTTTCAACTCCCCTTCCTCCATCTCTTCGTCCTGTGCCACATGCCTGCTGGAGTCACTTTCAGGTTTGTCCAGTTGTTTCTTCTCCAGATTTTCGGTCTTTGCACTCTCCATTTTTCCCACCAACTCAGACACCTGCAGGGACGTAACACCAGAAGGGGCCTGAGAGGTGTCTGTGAGAGCAGGTGAGGGGCAGCGACTACTCTGCGTGCTCTGGATTCTTTGACGATATTCAGATAAATTGAGCTTCCTTTTAATCTTCTTCGCCTCTGGCTTGTCTTCCACCATCTTTTCTTCTTCTTTCTCTCCATCACTACCATTACCATCGGCCTCCACATCATCTTTGGGTTTGGAGTTACCGATGTCTGTCATATAAGCTGGCAGTTTGTTATATATATCAATATTACTGTCCTTATTATAACCAGCCCCTTCATCTCTGTTCTCTTTGTTCCTCCAGTCCCTGGTAACAGCTCTCGAGTCCTTTCCATCCTTTCTACGTTCCTCCGTCTCTACGCTGGCATCGCTCACGTCCCCAGATTCCACCCCACTGTCTTTCTTGCCTCCATCATCGTTCCCTTCGTCGGAAGATATGCTCTGTTTCTTAGCATCATGTCTGGGGATGGTGGTGTAGTAGTCGGGCAGTTTGTTAAACAGACCTTCGTTACTGGCGGCTCGACTCTCACTGTGCTTGTTCTTCTTCGATTTTTCTGACGAGATGCAGTAGTCATGGTCCAATGGAGGCGGCACACGGAGATCCGTTGTATTCTGTGAGGAGAAAATATAAATGCTTTTACACGTGACCAATAATGCCCATGGAACCAACTTTTGTGGTGAATAATACATCTTCACCCTTAATGAATGCAGAAATTTCATCCACTTCAAAAGTTATCATTATGTACAATGACCTGGAGTAAGGCATCAAAATATGACAAAATACTAACTGAATAACAACACCCCACATCCTTGTTGCTGGAGATTATCATTATACAAATTTAAATTCAGTTCTAGGGTGTTATATTACCAGACAAATGTTAGTGAGATCATACCTGTGGGGTCGTGGATTGAGACACTACACGATGAGCTTTACTACGGTGTGGGTTGACCTCTTGTTGCTTCACACCGCGGCCCTTCCTCACCACCAGTGGCTCAGGCAACATCTGTGTACTTTTGCGCTTTGTTGACGCTGTTGAAGAATAATAATAATTAAATACCTGTACAGTTATTCCTCGCCTGTCCAGACTAGTGAGGGGTGGGAGTGTCCGGATAAAAAATACTACATTACACTTATTAACGAGGCATAATAAATCTATCAAACCCAAAATAGAACTTAATAACAACCCTGTAAATGATACAATTCACAGTGAATATTATATATAAATCTAAATCTAGCATAATTTTTGTTTTCTACTTAGTTCATTCGCATCAATATTTACAACTGACCTTTGATCTTCTCAATTATCTCCTTAGGCAAGGCATCTTTAATATTCTGGTGAGTGGGTGAGGCCTGCGGCAAGTTGCTAGACGACGATATCCCAGAACCTGAAGATCTACGGTTGCCGGCCACAGAAGAGGTCAATCCTACAGATTTTAACTGTTTGCTGCTCTTGCTGACAGCCTTAGTGTTGTTATTACCTGATTTGTTGACAGCCTCAGATGCCTCAAACTGGGCCAGAAGACTGTCTAGATCACCAGCCTCCAGAACTGTGAGAGCAGAATATATAATGACATTTATCAGAGGCAATTTCATAATGTGCTGAAAGGCACACCATTTCTTACCCCTTCAACACTTGTACTGGATGTGACCAGTACAGTACACACCCACTGTTCTCCCACTTAACCAGTACATCACCACTTTGCTTTTATTCATATCAGTCAGAGTAATTATGGTCACGTGCAATTGTCATGCGACCCCCCCCCCTCCATGTTGGAATTCTATAATGAGTTAGCTAGAGCACTGTACTGTCCACACCTCCAACCACCGTCATTGTCAGAGTAAATGTGTGTGTTCGAACAATTGTTGCTCATGACTACATAAAATATCAGAACAATTGTGCAAATGCATAGATACTTATATTGTACAGGTGCAGGTATTTCTAGTATGTGCATTTTACTGAACAAAAACAAAAAATCAGTTGTGGGGACTGTTCTTGGGGTGAAACAAACTATTAGAGGTGATCCCTTGAGAGAACACTAACTACACTACAGTATACCTGGGGTCTCTTCAGCAACAGTCTCTATGTCAATCTCTTCGTCGTGGGTTTCGACCTTAACAGTGCGTGTGAGAGACTGGGCGGGTACCGGGAGCTGCGGTAGAGGAACCAACGAACCAGATTCGTTCACCATGGCCAAGATAATGGACCCAGCTGGCAGCTTAACATCCTTGCCATCAATCTGAAGGGTTCTGGAGCCCTGCAGAGTCTGTACACACAACATTCAGTCAATTTTAACATCGAAACTAAAACAAATAGAAGGAATATAAGACACCATTATTAATATATGTAAATACAGTACTGTATAATCCAAACACCAAGTAGATCGCAACAATACAAAAAAACAATTTATGGCACGAATTATTGTACAAATGAGTATGTAAAATCTATGACAAAAATTAATCTCTAATGTATCACACTTTAAGTCTCTTAATACTTCTGGGGTTATGTCACTGCTTTTCAAGCTGTCTTTATCCACTATATTGTAGGGTGGCTAAAATCAAGAGGAAACACAGGCACATCTACACACACTCAGGCACACAGTCATCCACTCACTCCTACTAAGGTGTGTTAAGAAGCTCTAAATATCTAATATCAGGCTCCAAGGCATCGACGAGATATTTGCTGTTTGTGCTTTGTGTGTGTGAGATCAATGAAGCTCCTCTACAACAAACAACAAAGTTATCCGACTAATTTTATGAAGTTATCGTGCAAGAATGACGAACACCCCCCCCCCCACACTTCACATAACGATGCATATGAAGAACAAAATTATAATAGTCAGTTGGCAATGGTGTTCGTCAATCCATGTACACTTTTAGGACACACACACGCACACCATTACAAGACCTTACAAAAACAAGATTAAAAACTCTATAATGCAACTAATACGACTGTGGCAAACAGCTCAAGCCTCTTGTACTGTACATTATCTTCCAGCTTCACCGGCAGGGAACTCGTCAACAGAACAAAAAAGTTAAGTGAATTACTGTATCACCCACCTGCCACATTGTCTGCTGAGTGACATATACCATTCACTACAGTACAGTACCAGCTACCCTTCCCCCACACATCACTCACCCCCCCTCCCCCCCTCATCTCACCTTACTGGGTAGAGTTAGTCGAGTGAAGCTCCCAGCAACAAGACTACCACCCAGTATCTTCCTAACTCCTCCACCACAGCACCTCAATACCACCACTTTCCTCCGTGACACAAAACTCACCTTCTTGTTTACGACTTGAGATTCAATTTCCTCGTGTTCAGTTTCACACATGGAAGCCTCAGTACCTGTGCCAGTGAATGTGATACAAGTCAAATTAAGTCATTATATACAGTACAGTGTGTTAAAGAAGTCCCTTGTACTTGCAATAATTAACAATATAGTTATTTACCATGTTCTATGGAGAGTACATGGTCACAGTAAATGTTGGAAGTGGATACCATTTCTAATATTTACTGTGAGTATAACATGGTACAGTATATAACACTATAGGTATAACAAGGTACAGTATATAACACTATAGGTATAACATGGTACAGTATATAACACTATAGGTATAACATGGTACAGTATATAACACTATAGGTATAACAAGGTACAGTATATAACACTATAGGTATAACATGGTACAGTATATAACACTATAGGTATAACAAGGTACAGTATATAACACTATAGGTATAACATGGTACAGTATATAACACTGTAGGTATAACAAGGTACAAATACAATATTAATTATTATAGGTACACATGGACAGTAATATATTTAGTCAGACATTTCAATAAAAAGTACCAAGGCTTAACTGTTTGTGTGAGTGAAAGTGATCCAAACAATGACATCTTAAGTTACAGACCCTTCCCTGGCCACCTCTAGTTGTGGTGGCCATTAGGTAGGTACAGTAAATGTGTTCCCATACTCTGCTGACCTGACTGGGGTTCCTGCTTCACCCTGTGCTTGACTTCATCTTTCATTGTTGACTTGACAGTATCATCCACCACATCAGCCTGTGTGTGTAGCGCAGGAGTCATCACGTCCTCTATGAGCTCCGGAGAATCCTCCAGCAGCATGGAGTCCTCCAGCTCCCCAGCAATCTCTGTCATAATGTCTTCTTCTCTCACTTCACCAAGAGACACACCTTCCTCATCCTGGATCTGCAACAATATGCATAATAAGTAACTAGCTCAGAAATTCCTCTTTTCAGTCCACAATGCTAAAAAAAAAAAAACTCCTGTAAAAAATAAACAAATAAAATTGGAGACCGCCAGTTTCCTGTTGTGGTTATGATAATAACCACAGTAAGTGCTGGAATGCTGGAAAGTTTTAAAAGGCTAGATAGATTCAAGGATGATAGAGAGTGGTTGTAACTCTCGACAGGAGATGCCATGCACAGGCTAACCAGCCTATTGCACTCCTTATTTTCTTATGTTCTTATAAGCTATTAAGCTTCTGTAACAGTTAGCTTGACCTCACAAGTTAATATATTCGCTCTTTCTAAAGCTGAACATTGCCAACAAGTTTACTTAATTTGTCACCTTTTACTGATGGCCAGACAACCTTAAGGCCCTTCCCCCCTTCTTCCCATCCTCTTCAACAACTCTGACATCAGAAAAATTAAATAAACTCAATTTTCTGCTCAGTGAGAGAAGTTCTTTATTTCTTTACCTTTCTGGTGTCCAGGAGAAGATCTGGCGGCACACACGGACCGGTGATGGAACAGAAGGACTCCGAGCGCTGTCTGTTTCCCCCAGCCATGGAGAGGGACACCACCTCATCTACCACCAGGTCCTCCTCATCTGATGCCTAAGAACCAGACAAAAAGAGAATTACCCAAGTGTCCCAAACACCAAATTAAAAATTGTTAAATAAAGACAATGATACAGGAATTACACAGAGATGTACACCATATTCTAACCATGCAAGTGTAGATGATGATGATGATGGCAATCTTCCCATCCTTACAACACTAGATCTTAATATTAAAAGGTGTCTTAGGAAAAGCTATGCACACTGTCTTAGATTTTTGTGGAGATAGTATGAATATTTCTATTACAGCTCTCACTTGTTGAGGAGCGATGTCACCCGAAACTGAGGTAAATTTTTTTGTTGTAATATAGAAACATTCACACGATAGCAACAAAAGATCTTTAAGGCAGTGCGTATATATTTTATCCAACACAACCTGTACTTAATGCACCAACCCAACAATTCCTACTGCAGAAGCCAACACAGATTAAGTCTTGGAAATAAACAGTATCTTCTAAATTTCGTCCTCTACCTTTTTCCTATTCATTTTATTCTTCATTCTTATCATTACATAGACGCGAGGGATGGTTAAAGCTGCTACACTGTCCTGCCCCTTCACCTCTCTTTTATCTAACCTCATCTCTTTACCCACTAACTCTAGTCAACTCTTACACTGATAGCACCCCTCTTACACTGATAGCATCACTCTTATAAATACACACAATATTGTAAATCTATAGTGGAGAAATGAACAATAAAAACATTATGTATATACCACCTAGAAACATTACAAACAATATACCTCCTCATCTTCGTTCTCAGCTAGATTGAACATCAAGTCAGTAATGAAATCCCCATCTGATGCCTGCAAAAGGAGGAGTTAAGGGGAGTTAGAAGCTGCCTTCCTTCACCGACCACCAAGTCATCCTCGGACAAACAAACAAACACAGTGAGCTGGTTAGCTCTCACAGGAGGAGATAAAAAATCAGTGGAAGGTTGGTTGTGATGCTAAGTTTGAAGTACACTACAATACAGGTGCATAATACAATATAAATACATATACCCTGTACTCATACAGTAAAGTACATAGTAGTAAATACAGTACTGTACTGTAATATTCAACAAAATAATAACAGGTGCTGAAAGAAGATAAAAGTATATATATACTGTACAGGTATAATCGTATACCAATGTCATTCTGATCTAAACTACTGTACTATTGTACATTATATAACTAATTATCTACTGTGTAATAGTCTGCCCCCAAAAATTCTCACTGAAATGCAAGTGGACATTGTTTTACTGAAAAAAATGTCCAAGTACATACACCTCACACCTGAAGATATTAATAAGGATTCATGTGCACCTTACCTGTGTGTGTCAACAGCAAATCATGCACACACACACTATGATACAGTACAGTAACACCAGACTAAAATAATAAACCAGCAACATTGATTATATATTGTACATGATCACCATCACCATACACAAGTTTTGGGTTAACTTACATTTAATACCAACAAGTAGAGTACTGTACTACATCACAGTCTATATTATGGGTACAAAGATAACAATGTTACTGTACTTACATTTAATAACAGCGGGTATACCAGTCTGTACTATGAATACAAAGATAACTACACTACAGTATATACTGTACAGTACTTACCAGCCAGGCACAACAAGAGGTACGCCAGACATGAGATCATTATCATAAGAGGTGAAACAAAACCTCAATAAATATCCTGTTTACTTTCTTTTTGTATTTGCTGAATTTTACCTTTGTTTACTAGAAGTTTTGTATTATACAACTCTTATGTAATAATGAGTAAATTGTTTTAAAAATAGAAAATAATAATTAACTTACATGTGTATCAAGATCACTACAATGACTGTCAGGGAAGGGAGAGAGGAGAGGCAGTCTGAGTGAGCGACTCCACTTGCACACTCGACCAGACACACTACTACCAGGACTGAGAAACCCACCAGAGTCCTTGGCAGCGGGAGGAGTGTGTGGAGCCTCTGATCTCTCCTCACACCCTGGCCAATAACTCTTGCCAGGATTGTTACTCTTAGTTCGACCCTTATTGCTTGCTTGGTGGATACCAGCGAGGAGGTTGGAGAACGGGCTGACCTTGCTGCCTAGAGTGATAGTAAGTGCTGGCTTGTTGACAGATTTATCAAGAAAAGAGGAAGAAATGGGTAAGTCTGAGCCCTTGCTTATCCTTGAGAGGCAAGAAAATCTATTGGTTGTTTCATTCTTAACAACTAGACCCTGATGTTTCTCAGCTTCTCTTAAAGCGGCAGCAGTGAGAAGGACCGGTGTAGTTAAACACAGCTGTGGCGAGATCATTGGTTCATTTTCACTGGAATATGGATTAATGTTTGAGCTTAAACTATGGTGATATGAAGGTGTGAGGAAGGCTGGCAGTGGGGAACTGGATACATCCTCGGAATGAATGGTTGACTTGGAGGAGCCGTTCATCGACAGGCTCTCTCTGCACGTAACATCATCGAGTTCGTCTGAATCTGCAACGCTTCTACCGTAGACAAGTCCATTCTCTCTGCCCTTTCTGTCAAACTCTTCCATGAGACTCGCCACATCTCCAGACAACCGTTCATCGTCACTCGTGTAACAGTGTTCTGACTCCTCGTACGTTCTCCTCGATGAAAAGTCCCCATTTTTGCTCACAACTCCCTCACCTTCCATTACCTTATTTATACCACGAGATTCACCGAAGGGCGGGTGATGGTTCATGTCCAGCACGTGTGTTGGGGATCTGTTGTATGCGAGTTCCATCACCATCTTCTCTAGCTGCTGGAGGCGTTTCTGTTGTGCAATGTTTTCCATTTCTATCTTCAAAACTTTATGCTGTAACATTTCATTCTCTTGCACTATATTGTTGGGGACACTCCTCTCTTCTCTCCTTTCTTTACCTTCTGTGCAAACTCTTCTGAAGCTCTCTACATTTCCCACTAGGCCTAGTCTAATGCATTTCTCAAAGTCACATACGTCTTGATAATCATCGTGAGAATACAAAGAGGCACCAGCAGCCCAACCACTCCTGGTGTGATCATCGTGGGTCAAGTCTCTCTCCAAATAATTCAAATTTGCTTGTCTGTCTTTTTGTGTCCTGTGATAACTCTCCATGTTTGTTGTTGTTGTCTAGTTTGTTTACTAAACTTATGGTTAACTTTATTCTTGTTCGCTCCACTTGTAAGAACTTTACATCTCTAATTATTTACTTACACTTAATATTCACAATAACACTGCACTTTTGAATTGCACAATTAGTTCAAAGATTTAATTCACATATCATAGCTATGATAATTTGTACCCTGCAAAAGATGTAAAAAATTATGGACCACCTGATCAACCAGACGACACCACAACTATAGGTTCAAGAGCATTAACCCCCCCCCCTGAATTTACCATAACGGCCATCACAGACAGTTCACACCAATACCTATCATGTAAGTCATACAACTGCATTCACACAACCTAACCTAACCTAACCCAGCCCATCAACTATTTAAGATTGATGTTTTAATGCTTTGATAATGGTGGTTTAACCCTTTCAGGGTGATAGTTTAACCCCTTATCTACCTTTCCAAACAACTGACAACTTATCTACCTTACCAAACAACCGACAACTTATCTACCTTACCAAACAACTGACAATTTATTTACCTTACCAAACAACTGACAATTTATTTACCTTACCACACAACTGACAACCTTTCCAAACAACTGACAACCTATTTACCTTACCAAACAACTGACAACTCATTTACCATCACAATCAACTGACAACTTATCTACCTTTCCAAACAACTGACAACTTATTTACCTTACCAAACAACTGACAACTTATTTACCATCACAATCAACTGACAACTTATTTACCTTACCAAACAACTGACAATTTATTTACCTTACCACACAACTGACAACTTATTTACCTTACCACACAACTGACAACTTATCTACCTTTCCAAACAACTGACAACCTATTTACCTTACCAAACAACTGACAACTTATTTACCATCACAATCAACTGACAACTTATTGACCATCACAATCAACTGACAACTTATTTTACCTTACCAATCAACTGACAACTTATTTACCTTAACAATCGACTGACAATATCATCAATCTCTCGTCAATATTCTAAACGATCATCATTTCGACTAATTAATGACATTAAAACCATGAATAAAAACAATTATACACAAGCGTTCTGATGCGTTTAGTGTCGAGTCAAAGTGAGACCGTCAGTCAGTTTACAGCGTTGGTCGTCGTAACAGACACCGACACTCGCTCTACCTACACCATCATCAGCCACACTTCCTGTTGCCAGCACATCTTCCCAGGGAAACACGAAAGAGCCGTTAAAGAGCACCATAATATCTGTTCCCCTGATGCTTCTCTCTTGTCCTGCCTCCTCCCTCGTACAACTACCCCACAGTACAGCCATGAGAAACACCAGCTAGCGCCCCAACCCAGCCATCCCACCACTACACGTCACCACCACTGAATCAATATTTGCCACAGTCCTAGGCCACTCAATACACAGTGCAGATAAAGTCATGTTGTTGACGTTTGGTTCATCATGGTTTTTAGAAGATGTCGTCTCGTGTGGACCTGTCGTCACTGTCAGAACCACTATCACTACACATAGCTCCCACTACGCAGGTACTCCACCGTGCTCACCGCGTGGCAGACTGAGCTGGCTACTGGCAACCACCCCCCCCCCCTCCCAAGTAACACCGTGTCTGTGTGAGTGTTTTTATCAGCGAGGAGGAAGATGAACCAAACCCCGCTATAAGGAATTTGTTTACATACACATACCAATAGCTACATCTCGGAGAAACAAGACAGTTTTCCACTAACAACAAACACGTTACTGCCTTTACTATACTAGGTGAGGTTAAAGGAACAAAAGATTCGGTACAACCAGCCCCTCAACGTCTAGCTATAAAAATTCACTGCAACTTCCACCACCAGCACAGTGAGGCAAACTCGATAACATGGTGTCTACTGCAACCTAACCTAATCTCACTTAGCCACTACCTCTGTATAAATCTGCTCACCTAGAACATTATCTACCTACATGAGCCACCCCAGATAAATTATCTCTAAGGCTACCTGGTGCGGGGGAGAGGTGGGTGTTAGAGTCTTTAATAATGTGATATAAACTGGGGTTGCTAATCTTCACCTGATCCAAAATAACTAATTGTCTACGTATGTAAGTATGTAAGTATGTATGTATGTATGTGGCTTCTCTACAAGATGTGATGTGTCATCCCGTGTCACCAAGTAAACACGCCCACCTGGGTAACACCTGTCGGCACACACCCACCTTGGTAAAACCTGCACCCACAACGCCCTCATCAACATCCCAATATATTACGAACTAGGATAAATTTTAACTTACCGACTATAACACCTTAATTTAACAATTCTCAACACTGGAGATTAACACACACACTGTACCGTGGAAACTCGTTCAGAAAATGTGTTGTGTGGTCAATGAACGGATTAGTCTTCAAATTACATCCCCGCCAAGTGGAAGGGAGGTATCAAGTGGAAGGAAGGTATTATCAAGTGGAAGGAAGGTATTATCAAGTGGAAGGAAGGTATTATCAAGTGGAAGGAAGGTATTATCAAGTGGAAGGGAGGCATTACCAAGTGGAAGGGGGCATTATCAAGTGGAAGGGGGCATTATCAAGTGGAAGTGAGGCATTACCAAGTGGAAGGGAGGCATTATCAAGTGGGAATTTTAAGCGAGGGACATCAAATGAAAATTTTACTGTGTATTAAGGAGTGAGGCGGCGCGACACGGTTGGCAAGCCTTACCTGAGGACTCAAAACATTGCGTGGTGGGGCGATGGGGTGGGCTGGCCTCTGCCGGGGGGAGGGAGGGGAAGACATGTGTAGGGATTGTAAATACTAGAAGCGAGATGAACACACAACAAACACATCGACGGTCAATGTATTAAAGAATATATAAACAAATCCTCGAAATGGGAATAATGGCGTGTTTGTGATCATATTTATATGTTCAATGGTTTAAACTAAAGCGAATGTATGGATGTGCAGTATGTGCAGTAAAGGGGCGGATACACCTGATAACGAGATCTGAGGTTCACGAGTTCCACAACAACTTAAATAATGAGTTAATTAATGCACAAAGGCAGAACACCATACAGAAAACTCAGAACAAACAAACAATGACCCTACATGGATAAATAATTATTTAAAGAACATTATTGGACAAAGGAAGGCTATAGGTAGGAGAATAAATCGTGGTGAAATTTACCTCCGAGATTATTATAAAATATTGGTCTATTCTGAGTAATTCAGTCAGGTCTTGACACTGAGGTCACCCACAGCAAGGGAGGCGAAGTCAAACCCCAAGGGATTCTATCAACTGTATCAAACTAAAACACGAGAAAAGATTGGACCAATACAGTCGGATACCGGCGAGCTAACTGATAACGACAGAGAAATGAGCAAAAATCTGAATAAATATTTTTCAACAGTTTTCACCACCGAAAATTTAAACATGATACCCGAGGCACCGACTCTATACAGAGACAGTGAAGAAAATAAATTAAGCGAGATAGTAGTGACTAGTAACGATATTAGTAAGCAAATAGACAAACTAAAGCCTATTAAGTCACCAGGTCCCGAGGAGATATTTGCCAGAGTATTAAAGGAATGTAAGGAAGAGCTTAGTATGCCCTTAGCAAAGTTGTTTAACATGTCCTTAAAAACGGGTGCAGTACCAGAATCCTGGAGGATAGCAAATGTAATACCGGTTATCAAGAAGGGAGATAGATCAGATCACTATCCTCTAACTACTGTCCAATTAGTCTAACATCAATTGTAAGCAAATTACTGGAAGCAATCATTTCAAACTATTCGAAATCACCTGGAGAAGCACAAGTTGATCAATGATTCCCAACATGGCTTCACAAGCGGGGGGTTCATGTCTAACTAATCTATTAACATTATTTTCATGTTTTCGAACCAGTGGACGAGGGGCACAATTATGATGTGGTATATCTCGACTTTAGCAAAGCCTTCGACAGAGTCCCCCACGAAAGATTAATAAGAAAAGTGAAGGCTCGAGGCATTAAAGGATATACTCTAAAATGGATTAGGGCGTGGTTACAGGACAGGAAAAGGCGAGTGAGCATTAACGGCACTAAATCCGATTTGAGCAACGTCACTAGTGGAGTTCCCCAAGGGTCAGTACTTGGACCATTATTATTTATTATATACATAAACGACAGATATCGGCGCAGACAGCAACTTAAGTAAATTTGCTGATGACACTAAAATAGGGCGTGTAATTAAATCTGACGAGGACTTCGCAAAACTACAGATGAAATTCAACGTGGAGAAATGGAAAGTACTCAGTATAGGATATGTAAACAGGAAAACCAGATACCAGATGAAAAACGATGTTATTGAGTAAACTGTGTATTTGCTCGAAACAAGGCAAATAAAGTGCTTGGGTTCATACAAAGGAGTGTTAGTTACAAGACTAGCGAGGTCATCCTAAAACTATATCTTGCGCTTGTGAGACCTCACTTGGATTACGCAGTTCAATTTTGGTCACCGTATTACAGAATGGATATAGAATCCCTAGAAAGAATTCAGAGGAGAATGACAAGACTAATCCCGGGCATTAGGAACCTTGAGTACAGAGACAGGTTAAAGCATCTTAATTTGCACTCCCTCGAGAGACGTAGAGTGAGGGGCGATATGATAGAGGTGTATAAATGGAAGTCAGGGCTGAATAAAGGGAACATTACAAAGGTACTCAAACTATTCAACCAGGACCGAACTCGTAACAAGGTTTTAAATTAGACAAATTTAGATTTAGGCGCAAAATGGGTAAACATTGGTTTGGAAATAAGAGTAGTGGACGAGTGGAACAAGTTACCAAATATCATCAAACATAGGTTGGATGGATATATGAGCAATAGGGGTTGGGTGTAAACGGGACTGCCCAGTATGGGCCAATAGGCCCGCTGCAGTTTCCTCCATTCTTATGTTCTTATGTACACTTAAGTATTAATGAATGTGAACAGACTTAGACCAACAGGTGAAGTACGGTGTGCAAAGCACAAATTTGGCCGGTAAAAATGTTTACAAGCGAGGTGACGTCACTAAAACAAATTATCACCACCATCCACCACTCTAACACACTATCACCGGCTACCAACATTCTAACACACTAACACCAACTACCAACATTCTATCCCTAAACGTTCTCTCCTTCCACCTGCTGTCTCATGTAGTCGTCCTCCCCAACTGCTAACACCCGTGATGACCCAAGCACGCCAACCTACTGAACACACACACACTTTGTTTACCACCACCCTTCTTGGCCTACATCTAGTTGACTACCACTCAGGCGCTTTGGGAATGTCCTCTTTGTTGTGAGTGATTTAGTAAAGAGCTTTTATACGTAGATATTATTATTAACATTATTTATTTTATTAATAATATTATTATTAGCATTATTTATTTTAGTATTATGATTATTTTAATAATTAGGTGAACTAAACTGCGGTGTGTAATCTTCATGTTACTGAGCAAAATATTTCTCTACATGGAGCTACCAAGGTCATTTATCATCACTCCATATCGTAGTTTTATCTTAGTTACGTGATTGATTGTGCGAAAAGTACAGTGAAACCTCTACTTAACGGACTATGTGGAGAGTTGTCCGCTATATCCCTCCATTTAACGGATTATATGGAGAAATCCGTTACATGGAGGTTTCACTGTATAAACAATACGTTCACCTTATATATTTGGGGTCACCTAAAGAATCACTACCCCAGTTTATTTCACCTAAAGATTAACCACCCTAACCTAACTTCACCCCCCCCTGGATAGCGTATAGGGTGGTCAATCTTCAGGTGATCCGTTGTATTGTATTGGGTTAGGTGATATAATTAGTTTAATTGGTGGATAATAATTTAGAAACTTATCAAATCTCTCTCCATCCAGGTAAGGGCAAGTGAATGAGTCATTATCACTCTACAACGACCATAGTTCAGACTAAAGACCTTTACCCCCCAATACCTGCCATGGGTCAACTGAAGATTATATACCTCTGTTTATTTCACCGCAAGAGTAACCTAACGTAACCTAACCCTACCTTAACCTAATCCAAACCTAACTTACTTATTTTAACCTAAGCTAACCTTAACCTTATTTACTCAACATAACCTAAAGTAATCCTAATCTAGCTTAACCTAACCTAACCCTGACACCCCCCCCCCTATCCACCCACCTGGACAGAATAGTGGACAAATTGAAAAAGAAAACCCAACCAATTTCCACTGGACAAAATAAAAAATTCCAATTAATTTCCTTTTAAAATTCCATTAGAGAGAGAGACAGACAGTGAGAGAGTGAGATAATCAAACAGAGAAAGATAAGACTACGGCATTCCCAGACAGACCGGAGTCTTCCTCAACCTTGTCATCAGCTCATCAATGTGTGATGATGGTGGCCCCATGATAAAGCCTTCCCGTCTATATATAGGCATAGATAGATGTTTTGATAGATAGATACAAGTACCCATATATCGTCGTTATCCTGAGAGAGAGAGAGAGAGAGAGAGAGAAACTCATTACCCCCCGCCTAAACATTGTTTCTGATCTTGACACGCGCGTACGTTTCTCCTACGA